AGGCTTTCATCTGTTTGAGGTTGATAAAATGAGTACCGTGCTAAACATATGTTCAGGTTGTGGGACAGAAGTAAGCCAGGACTCTTGGGTTGGCTGCATCCAGGATTCATTCTACGTATATAAAAATTAGTGACTAATCTACGCACAAGCAATATACCGCTTTATGATAGGTATTCTGCTTAGCTTAATCATACTCCAAAGCTTCTAGAGCCCCCGAGGCCCATTAACTAGCATCCCTGCAGCACATAGTTTCTTAATCCTGCTTCAAACTGTTATTTTTTGTGTCATTAATAACGAAGAGGCTTTCATGCCTTTGAGCAGATGGTGTGACTCTCAATGTGTCCGTGTGCACACCAGCCCTTTTCTGTGTGGCGTGGTGACTGGATGAAATCTTAAATAAAACCGAAGTCGCTGGGAACACGCAGCAGGTCAGGCAGCATCTATGGATAGAGGAAAATCAGTTAACGCTTCAGGTCGATGACCTTTCGTCAGAACTGGGGGTGTCCGAAGGGAGCAGATTATAAGGTCAAGCAGAGAAGAGGGCGGGAAAGGAAGACAAAGGAAAAATTTAGTCGGGAACAGAAGATGATGAGAACAGAGGTGTTGATGGTCAACACAAGACAAAAGAACGCAATAGTGGGGGAGATTATGGGAAGAAAAGATGCGTCTAAGACCCCAGAGGATGTGTGAATGGTTATAGAAGAGGAGAAGGCAAGTCTGAGAGAAGATGGGAGCTGTGTATAAGGTCTGCCAGAGGGCTGTAACATTGTTTCCTGGCCTAGTCTTCGGCCATTTACATCTGATGGCTTTCACAGCTTCAACAATAATTTTCTTTGTTCTTCTCAGCCCCTCCCACAGACTTCTTCACCACAGACTCTAAAAATTCTTCTTTCAGTGTACTGCTGGAAGCTCGCTCTTTAACGCTCCCTGTGAGGGTACAGGCTTTTGAACACTGTTTTGTTCAGTCTTATTTGCATATCAATTTAGGTGCTGAACATCCTCGGCCAGTGGAAAACAGCTCTGAAAATGGGGCAAAATAATTTGCCTTGGAGCTCATTAATTTTGTACCCCCCGGCACATTTGGTAGGCTTGAAAGGAACTGAAGCTGGGAGAGTGTCTCTTAGCGATGAGCCTGCGTGATAGTAACACTGTTTTTTCAACGCAAACAAATCGTAGCGCAAGAAACTTAAAGCAGTTGCATAACCAGATGTTGAGACAAGTCGACGTACCATCGTTCTAACCTCGGTTGCTGCTAGTGTTTTTTTTTCAAGATAGCCACCTTCTGGCGAGTGGCCACTGCATTAAAAGCTCTTGCGTGCAAGCAGTCACTTGCCTCACTGGTTAATAACCCAGACTAAAGTACAATTGCTGTTGTAAATGATAAACTTTATTGATATTGAGTCATCCTGGGAGTTTGAACTTCATATCATTTAGTTGGCTGCATTACATAGATATGTGAGCTACAGTTGGCTCTATTTCTGTTTAAATTGAGGTTGGCATATACTGTTTCAAAGATATAAGGTGCTATATCAAATGTAAGGAATTTTATTTATATGCTAACAGAGAACCCATGTAGTCCTTAAAAGAGCCTTCTCGAAATGTAACTTCATTCGGTTGCTAATCAGAATAATGCGTTGCCATGTGAGACCTAAATCTGTTTCTATCTCTGTCTAAAATGAGGTAGGTGAGTATATGTTTATTATAAATCGTTTTGCCTGCTACAAGCATCAAGGTTGTATACATTTTATTTTATGAGAAAATAGCTACTGCCCAAACGACCTGTAATCTCTTTAAAGCTGAGCATTTTGCAGACTGTCACATTTTGTGAGCTGTCCAAAAGGAAAGCAACGTTTATGTAGCACCCATCAAGTAGAGTAATATTTTGGAGTTCTTTACAAGGTCAGGGTCAGGCGCTGAATGGGGAAGAGGGCAGATTCAAAAAGGTAGACTTAAAGACAAGATGGTGGGGGGTCAAGTAGGAATTTGGAAAATCATGAGAGTTTGCTCATATCGTTTTGGAGAGGCTAGGAATATTAGAATCTGAATTTTTTTTAGAGAAAGTGGCTGAAAAATTAAAATGAAGATCTTTAACAACGCGTGGCTTGTGCAGAGTTGGCTTAATTCCAGCAACTGCGCAATACACGGATGTACTGATTAATAAACTGGACGGTAATCAACAGAAATCAAGTGTTGGCCATTTAATATCTGAAGTGAAGTCGATTTATTCATTGTTCCTATAGGAGTCTCGTGGTTAGCTGAATACCATCATTTTAACAAAATTATGAAATTAGTCTTCGGTTATGAACCCTGGAAGAAATATTGAGAGGAGCATTTGAATGAGAATGACAGTGCAGCCATTCATCAGAGCTGTCAAGCAATGTTATCTTCTGCGACCTGGAGCAAATGAATATCACTTCTGCGAAAGCTGCTGCACCTTTTGCTTTAACTCAGCCAAGCTTCTGGTTTGACCGAAGGGAATTGTGTTTGGTTCTTATTTCTGTGTGAGGAAAGGTGACATTGGAATCGTTTTGGTGCAGTGTTGAAAAAAAAATGACGCACATTTAAATCCCAATTTAAATTACCAGTCATGCTGTGTTTTGTGCTGATTTCTGAAGAATCTTGCAGCTTTGCTTTCCAACATAAAACGACTGATGGTGGATCTGAAAGGACAGCTCTCTGAAGTTTTTAAAAAAAACAGCTCAGATGTAACGTGAAGTTGTTGATACACAAAAGTGTATTTGATTTGATAACTTATCCCTAGTTCTTTACAGCAAAAGAGCTTAAATAAATAAGAACAGATTATTTTAGCCAGACACTTGCTCTGATTTGGGAAGGATCACAATATTCTCTGTAATTACTAATTTCCCGAATATTATTTGCTCGTCACGCAAAGCTTTGAAACACCGTAGATCATATTCAAGTGCAGCTAACAAAAAAGATGTCGCCTTGACAATAGTGTTGTTGTTAAAGATTGCCAGCTCAAAGAAGTGTTTGGGGACTTGAGAAGTGATTTAGGAAGGGGATAAAGAGTGAGTTTTTTTAAAAAAATAGTTAGCGCATGAGGAACACCTCAGTTCCCAAATCATGTATTTAGCAATGTCGGCCAGGCAATAAGTAAAAGGTGGCAAATAGTCTACTGCATTGCATATACGTGAAGCTGTTATTGCTGGCAGATTGCAAGTTAATTTTCAAAATACAACTGCAGTCAGTGTTATTTATAAATATCAGCATTTTTGGTTTTGTCGTTTTTTTTAACTATAACCTCTGCCACAACAACATGCATCTAGCAGAGGTTTGAGTGCTCGTTGGTAGAATTGCAGTTTTAAGTGTTGTTTAAGATCACCCAGCACCGCTCTTCATCCCTCTGGGAACTGCGGTCCAGGCACACATGCTGCAAAGCATTTATTACTACTTTTACTAGGTAGTGCGCCTGCCTATTCACACGCTTTAAATTAATTGGAAAGGAACACTTGAGTACAGTGCTACATTTAACTAGACAATTTGCATCAATTAACTTTATTGTTGTAACAGAATGATAGATTATTTTGTGGTTCAGCAGAGAAATCAAGTGCTCAGACATCTTGAAATGTGAATTTAAACATCAGGTTAATAAAGTGAGTGTGAGAAGGGACCTGTTTGTGACCATGGAGACAGACTTCAGACTCCTGATAACTTGATACTGGCTTAGCTTAACTTGTCACTATCACTTAAGTCATCGTGATGTCGATATCCTGGCTGCATTTATTTATGTATTGATACATATGCCTAACTTGCCACTCCAGACAACTCATCACTGTGTCGTTTTCCCTTGCAATAATGAGTTGCCTGGTGCTGTAATGCATATGTTCCCATCGTGACTTTTTGTGACGCAGTGATGCAATTTGTTGTGACTCGTAACATTGCAAACCGTTGCATAAAACGGACATGTCTATAGATGTCCCTTTCATATTTTTTTTTAAAAAGAGATATGATATGCTTCCAGACTGGCAGTTCAATAAACAATGCAGTTTTATTCATGCAGACAGATTGCAGTGACTGCAGCAAGTGCTGTTTGGAATTCCTCCGATAGTCTGAGCACTATTATGCAGACAAGCGTATTTGTGTATTGTGCCTCATTAAACACTGGAGACCATTTATCCCGCTGCACATACTTAATCGACATTCTTGCTTAATGAAATCTTTCTGGTGAAGGGATATCCAACTCAACCCTGTAAGTAAATGGGGGATTTCAGTGTTTCAATTCAGATTGGATTCTGAGGTGTTGTGACCTCCAACACATGATTGGAATGGGCTCCTTGGGGTGCGAGCCACATTGAAGGTGGATCTCATTGGAGACGGCTGCTGTATACTCCTCGCCTGGTTGTTTGTGTGTAAATTGGCTACCAACTTCACTTATAAATATAGCCACTACCCTACAGAAAACTCTATGAAATGATTTGAGATATTTTGACGCAATCAGTGCTGCATCAAATGCAAGGATGATTATTAGTAATAAATGATAATAGTGTGAGGACTGTTTTCGCCCACAAAATATCCAGTCAATTCACTTTACTCTATATTCCGTAAAGCATTTGAGACGCCTCAAAGACATGCTAAGGCACTATATCAATTGCAAGGATTATTATTATTGTGATAGATCTTTTCTTTCCTCAATTAGAAGTCGCCAGTTCTACAGCAGGAGGCTTACAAGTGACTTCTAATGGTAGAAATTAAGTACTGGAACAATATGTTATGACTGGATCAATACAATCTATTTTGAGACCAGGCCATTCAACACTACAGTATTCGATCATGGAAGAGAGTATGTCCTTATAAATGATAATCTTGTTGTTGTTGTTGTGGTCCTTGAAAAATCACACTTGTGAATTTCGGCAAACTTTTTTAAAAGTTATTTTAAAGATCTTGCGAAACTGCAGATTAACGGAAAAAATGATTTTAAACCATGTTGATGACAATATGATTGTTTATTAGGACTAAAGTTTACACTGTTTCAATTCCAGTATGCATCCCACACATGACAAACTCGCCCTCGTTGATTGTGATGGTGGGTCTCCCAGCCAGAGGGAAAACCTACATATCAAAGAAGCTCACCCGTTATTTCAACTGGATTGGCGTGCCTACCAAAGGTGACTTTTTCCTCTCTCCACACTTTGTACGTATTGTTTGCGGTAGTGGATATTTCTAATTCTAAGTGGCCATCATTTGTGCTTGACAGGCTATGCTAGACAGCAGTTTTCTCTCTCTTCCCTTGGGTGACTGGTGGCTAGGCATTTGAATATAATTTTCTTCGGCTCGGATACAGTTCCACTGGTGCCTGCCGTACTCGTGTATCTCACCTGACGGCCATGCGTACATTTTCTAGCAGGTGTCACTCAGTGGTAAGCAGAAGTGGAAGCATTGGCTAATTCTTCTTCCCCTCCCTACCCAGCTTCTATCACCGAGACTATCCTTAGCACTCAATCAGACCCCAGGGAGAGTTGAGATCAGCTAACACAACACAGACTGTGAATTGAATCTATGCCATTGTTAGAATGACCTCAGTACATCACCAAGGGGTGCTTGTTTTCCCATTAGCAGTTTGTACCTAAGGCAACGGAGAAGGTTACAGAGTACAGTAAGGTGTGAGGCAAACAACCTGATTCAAGTATTCTGTATAACAGGATAATTATTTTACTCCTCACAGCTTTTAATGTTGGGCAGTATCGTCGTGACCTGGTGAAGACCTACAAGTCCTTTGAATTTTTCCTCCCTGACAATCAAGAAGGTTTGAAGATCCGAAGGTAATTCACCTCACCCTAATGTAGATCAGTTGTTTATTTATCTAGATTGTTTAGATAACTTATCTAAATTGCAGACTCTACATTGTTCATTCCTTTCCCAATCATCTTATTTTTGCAGACAATGTGCATCATTGGCACTGAACGACGTAAAGAAATATCTCAATGAGGAAGGTGGTCAAGTAGCCGTAAGTTAAATATTGCAATCTATTGATAAGTGAATATTGTTTGATATACTGATATGCTTTGGGGTTGAACAGTCTGTACAAAGTGTATAAGTGGTTTATAGATTTATAAAAGATTTAAAGATGAGCTGCCCTTTGTATAAAGGCAGAAGACCGTCCTAATGAGCAGTTTGTTTTTAATAGGTCTTTGATGCCACAAACACTACACGTGAAAGGAGGGAATACATTATCAACTTTGCAGAACAGAATGGATATAAGGTTAGCATTGAATGGTTTCTATGTTTGGTTTGAGCCTTGTGGACTGTGACTGTCCTTCATATTCCAACATTCTGGGAAGAGAAGCCTAGTCTGTTCAGCTCTTAAAGATTTATTTACTAAGAATCTTAAAGTTTTTAAAAATTTAAAGAGATTAACATGTACCTGGATGCTTTTTCTGACCACTTGATACTAAGGTCACCTCCTCTCTGAGATATGATGACTCTTCAAAAAAAAAAAAAATATTCTTTGACATTTGAATGCTGCAATTGAAAGTGCTAACTATAAAGATTCCAACAGGATTATTGGACAATCTATAACAAACATATACTATAAAATGAACTGAGTAGTTCAGAGCCTGATATTGGATTGGTAAACACCTATGTGTGGGTTAGAGGTGTGGGCTCTTGATTGAGTTTCCTTTTAAAGAAACCTTTATTGAGAAACCTTCAGTTTTCTTTGAATTTATTGAGCAGCTGAAAATGGAAAGATTAATTTGTTTTGTTTTTCTCCCCTCACTTTTCATGATCGATCCTGGAAACCCGCTCCTCTTGATGATGAAGGTGTTCTTTGTAGAATCTGTGTGTGAAGATCCAGAAGTCATCGAGACAAACATTGTGGTAAGTCGAACGTTGGTAGCAATAACGGTGTCACAATCCATTGCGGCCTTTAAAATGTCCGGTTCCACCAGTGTTAAGTACTCAGGTGCAGCCTGTGTGAAGCGTGCTATATCAATGCAAGTTGTCGTAGAGAAAAAAGTATTTGTAGTGTTCTTGGAATTTTTGTTCAATATGCGCTATTCACGTCATTACTTTATTCAATTAGCAAGTGAAGCTCAGCAGTCCTGACTACAGCGACTGTAACAATGATGAAGCTATATCTGACTTCCTGAAAAGGATAGAGTGCTACCAAAATACATATGAACCATTGGATGAAGTCTTCGACAAGTGAGTAAATGAGATAATTTGTACTTAGTCTGTATATAATGTCATCACTGGCATATTACATAGTAAACAAAAATAGGTGTTAGTTTGGTTAAGCCAGTAGCATTCTGGTGTGTGTGTGTGTCCCTCCTCCTGAGCGCTGTATTAGATTGTCAGCCTAAACTATGAGTTCAAAGCGTGACATGGGGCTTGAAAGCACCACCTTCTAACTTGGAGGCAAGAATGCTGAGCTAGGCTGACATGGACAGCAAAAATGTCTGAGTTTCAAGTTGCCAGTTCTGTATTGATATTGCTGCTTGTGCACTGTAGCATGTAGGACAAGGCCATTATATAAGAAAAAGTGTTGTAATGGGGCTGCTCTGCATCTTTAATTGTGAACAAATGTGTATAATTTTAATTTATATTTACTTGGAATGTTTTTCTTTGCCTCAAAGAGACCTTTCCTTTATTAAAATCATGGATGTTGGAAGACGCTATCTTGTGAATCATGTGCTGGATCATATTCAAAGCAAAATTGTTTACTACCTCATGAACATCCATATCACTCCACGTTCCATCTACCTCTGTCGCCACGGTGAGAGTGACCTGAACCTGAAGGGCAGGATAGGTGGCGACTCAGGGTTATCTCTTCGGGGCAAACAGGTGAGTTTAAAAACTAACTATAGTATCAGTCACGTATTGTTGATGTGTCTCTTTCACACTCGGTTCTCTGTACAGTATGTAACAAGGATACTTCAAACCATTGCAACAAAAAACACCCATTATTTCCAGAATATTGATCCTGAGGATAACGTGGCTATGATAATAATTAACTCAAAAAATTTCCCTTTCACATCGGGAGGACATCCCAATACACTGGTCCGTCCCAGCTTGGCACTTTGGATTGTGAATCAGTTGGTTGTGTATTGGATCATTCAGTGGCCACAGCATATGTTGTTGCGTGAAACTTTTGAGATATCTTGAGTTGTAAAAGATGTTTAGAAATATAATAAAAATGTTGTGTCTAATCTACTTGCTTTTTGTTGCAGTTTGCCAAATCATTAGGAAAATTCATTCAGGAACAGAACATAAGGGACTTAAAGGTCTGGACCAGTCAGATGAAAAGGACAATCCAGACTGCTGAGGCTTTGGGTGTGCCTTATGAGCAGTGGAAAGCATTAAATGAAATAGATGCTGTAAGTTGATTTCTGTTTTTAAAAATAGCAAAGGTGCGTCCATTTAGTCTATTTTAACCATTGGAAGGATAGAGATAGCTACTCGGGGAGGAGAAGGATTTGGGATTTGGAGAGGGAGAAATTCGGGGCAAGGGAGATGCAGTTAAATTGACAAGTGAATAATTGATGTTTGAACAACCAGTGTTCAATCAAACTCAATTCTGTTTATTTCAGCGAATTTCTGTCTTAATTCCCTCTTGAATTTATTGACCCAATCTGGCATAACTCAGCCTAGCTCTCTCACTCACTTCTGAGTCAGAACATTGTGGGTTCATGCACCATGCCTGGGCTTAAAACACGAGGCTAGGAGAGCATTGCTGCATTGTTCGAATGAGACTTTAAACTGAGGTCCCGGTTAACAATCCTCCAGAAAGAAATTGGTCACTTGCTTCCTAGTTATTAGTGGAACATTTCGGTGAACAAATTAATTGTGTTTACCAACAAATACAGTCACTTCATTTTATACAAAACTCTGGAGTGCATTGAGACGTTTTAATATAATAGGGGCAAAATCGAATGCAATGAATATAAACTTGGGTGCCTAATTCTGGCTAGCAATTTAGTTACCTTTACTATATCCTCTCTAATATTAAGATAGCTCTAAAAGGAGATTTTATCAGTTCCTAATCCTTTTAATTCATCAATGTTTTTATAGGGTGTCTGTGAAGAAATGATGTACGAGGAAATTCAGGAACACTATCCATCAGAATTTGCACTAAGAGATCAAGATAAATACAGATATCGATATCCGAAAGGAGAGGTAGGTAATGACACCACCACTTGAAGACCTTGTCTGCCCATTTAGCTGGCCTGTCTCTGACTTGAAATGTTAAACATTTGGCAGTTTAGTACCAAATCACAATGTACTTCCTAACTCAGCAAAAGGGGATGTAATGCTTCCTTTTACCATCCAGAGAAATGCAAAGATTATTTCTGAGCTAGTTCTAAAAATGATTTTACAGGTCAAAACTTTAAACGACAACAACAAAATTACATTTGTATAGCGCCTTTCACGTCGGGAGAATGCCCCAAGGCGCTGGACAGTTTCGGACCCGAGCTGGGGGTTGGGGATGGAGGAGGGCAGGGAGGAAGCAGGAGAGTCTTGAAGGAGGTAGGGGAGGGGGTGAGGCAGAGGGACTGCGGGATGGAGTTCCAGAGGGTGGGGACAGAGTAGCAGAAGGCCAGGCCTCCCAATAGTGGGGCAACGGGGCGGGAGACTTGAAGCAGGCCAGAGCCTGCAGCCTACGGAGGAAGGAGTTGGAGGCCGACAAGCAATGAGTTTGCGTAGTCAAGCCTCGATGTAATGAAAGCATGTATGAGGGTTTCGGAGGAAGCGAGCGATGTTGCGGAGGTGGGGGGAGGCACAGCGGGTTGTGGCGCAGATGTGGGGTAGAAAGGATAGTTAAGGATCAAACAAGACATCAAGGCTCCGGACTGGCTTAGCAAGGTGGATGCTGATGTTGTCAGTGCCTGAGGTGAAGATCCGTTGATGGGAGCCCATCAGGCGAGCCTCGGCCTTGTTGACAGACCAAGATTGCAAATGTGATGTACTGTTAGTACCTGGATCTGTCTAGTTTTGAAGTTATTTATGAATTACATGAATCTCTTTGGAGCCACCAAATGGTGTGTAATGATCTGATGCACAGCACACATGGTGTGAGCGGATTATACCCATTGCAGAGAGAAATCCTAGCTGTAAAGGGTAAGGGTTCAATTCTAGTGCTTCGTCATATGGTGTCTCTGGACATGCAATAATAATGATAATCCTTGTATTCGATATGTAAGCTAAGACTGGGTTACAGCATAGTTCCTCTGAACTATTGAAGGCTCAAATTAATGAACTTCATTTGGAGAAACCTGGAATGGATATAGCCAGACAGCTTGTTGATGACACTTAAGCACATTAAAAAGCATTGCACTGAATCAGCAATGGGTCAGATGGTTGTCTTGCTGTGAGCTGACTAGATTTATTAACATACGTCAGGTTAGTTAGACTGGTTTTCAACGCAGCAGAGAAACATTTGAAGGGCTTGAATAGGAACACTATGTCCTCAACCACCAGATAGAAACACGCCAATCTCACAATCATTCAGGTCCATTTGCAAAAGACAAATTTCATAATTGGAACATTTTCTATTGACCAGAACTGTCTGCAGTCTAGCTATTCTGTACTAAATGGATTTGGTCAGCATTCTGTTTCCCTCACTGTCTTGGCCAGCTGTAATCCTCAATCATTAATGGTGATCTGCCTCCAGCTCATGACATTTGGAAGGTTACTGGAGTAGATTGGTTTCACTTTAAACACCCTGTACTATTTTTCCATGAAGTCTCATTCCTAGTGACTGCCTTTTCCATTTTATCAGAATTGTTAACTTGCAGCTCTTTATATAACTGATCAGAATTATTTACACCCCTATTCTCTGGAACTCCTGCCTCTATCACTCTGGCTCAACCCCCTTTATCTTTAAATCCCTTCTTAAGACTTCAACTGTACCTATAATGACCTTCCCATCTTTCTCCTGTAGTCTATCCCCACTATTGCGCAGCTCTCTTTCCTGGGTAAAGGGTGCTATATAAATGTGAGTTTTGTATTTACAAGTGCTTTTGCTGTGTAACATATGCCAGTGAGGGGGTCAGCGGGGCTTACAACCACTCCCCCCCACCCCCACCACCATTTTGGTTTAAAGGTAAATAAAAGGTAGAGGGAGATTCCTTTAAATGAATTCTGGAGATTTGTAATTAATTTCCCCCTTTTACTTTTCAGTCATACGAAGATCTGGTTCAGCGACTGGAGCCAGTTATCATGGAGCTAGAGAGGCAAGAGAACGTTTTAGTCATCTGTCATCAGGCTGTTATGCGCTGTCTCCTGGCCTACTTCCTTGACAAAACTGCAGGTAAAAGAAGAGCTAAACACCCATTAATTTTACTGTCGGTTTACAATGCATCAACTGAATAGAAACTACATTTCTATCCTGTTCTATTGAGTTGAATATTTCAGAAAAATCACAGCGTTTTCCTCCCCATTATTTCTCTGCTGTATCCTTTGATTTGTGCTATGGTACAGTTCCAAACAACCCACGTTTATTCATAAAAGGTGACAGAATCTAAGAAAGGCCATTTTCATCCAAATCGCTTCTTGTGATCCTAAGTTGTTGGCATTCGACTTTTTCTTTCCCCCAGTTGTGTTTTCGGTTTTGAAACTATAATACTTGCTTCTGCAATCCACATCTGCTTTTCGTAAATTTATCAGGTACTTTCTCAAATCACTTAAAAATGAAAAGATTTTTTTTAGCACAAATTCAAACTATCTAGGCTTAAAATCTGGATGTGAGCATTGTTGGAGGTGCCGTCCTTCGGATGAGACATTAAACCGAAGTCCCGTCTGCCTGTCCAGGTTGATGTTAAAGATCCTGCGGCGCTATTCAAAGAGAGAAGGGAGTTTCTCCTGGTGTCCTGGCCAACAATTTCCCAGTTAAGATTGGGTCACTCCACTCCAAGGCTATTTGTGATGCATTACTGTACACAAATTGGCTGCTGCATTCGTCTACAAAAGCAATGAGATAAAGCTCTGTATCAAATACATGGACTATTATTACAATGAGCTACTACCTATTCTTTGTTTCATTTCCAGAGGAACTGCCATACCTGAAGTGCCCCCTCCACACTGTGTTGAAACTAACTCCAGTGGCATATGGTAAGTCTTAGGTAACTACAAAGCTTCCTATAAGGAAGCAAAGATTTTGGTGCTTTAATATAATGTACATGGCGGGGATGCAGGGGGGAATCCTGTCTCAATGCTTGTACCGTTCACAGTGGACCTTTCATATGCAAACCTATATAGTTCCTAATTGCTCTACAAATATAAATATTCCTATTTAACTCCAGTAATACAGTAATTTGATTATTTTTGCAGTGAAATTTAACTTAGTACCACGTGGAATTATTTTGGAGGAAATTTCAAACGCTTAGCGAATCTGTTAGTATATGAACTTCGGTTCGAGTTGAATTGTGTCCTCCCGATGTGAAAGACACTATGAATAAATGTAAATTTCTATTGTATTGAGTGTTTGATATATTTTCGCCCTTAGGCTGCAAAGTCGAATCCATTTTCCTCAATGTTGAAGCTGTTAACACACACCGGGAAAAGCCTGAGGTAAGCTGATAAACCAAATTACATTTTGAAGATTGGATGAAATTTTTTTTTCTAAAATCCCTGTTTGGGTTGCAAACCGAGGCAGAGATGTTCAGATTAATTAGCTGCTTGTGAAACTTGTGGGGGCCTACAGTCTAGCTCTTGAGATACGGCAGGTTGTTCTGTTGGAAGCTGTGTGTTGGACAGCATTGTAACACCACTCTCCACTCCCTGAACCAAGTTTGCCAGCGGTGAATGCTTTTGCAGCCTTCGGCCATGTAATCCACATTCTCCTCCTTGTCTCCATAGACATGCTATTATTCACACTGTTACGTCAAACAATCATGATTGTAGTAACAAAGATGTGGTTTGCGGGGAAAAAAGGAAATTATATATTGAAGCATATGTATCCCCTTTTTTGTTTATGTGACACTTGTTTATTCATAGACAGTACTTGAACACTAACATAATTTTGTTGAAATTTTGCGTATAGCTGCTTTGAATGGGGTGAAAGCACGTTAACTGCCTTGTAAAGCAATGTAACAAAATAGTTTGTGCTGCCACAAGCAGAATGGTTATGTAGATAAACTAGATTATTCTCATATACTAAATGAAAGCTGTTTCATTGAGCCATAGTTTCAACCTGATCCATAGTCTTCAACCCTTGCTCCAAGTCGGTTTGCTTGTTGCTGCTGTTGTGAGGTTTAGTGAGACAGGACACCTTCATTCTGTCCTAAAATGCATTTTCCCTTTGCAAGGCACTAATAGATATTTGCAAGTACAGTTGACTGTCTTTGTATTTGAGATTAATGCGAGTAGAACTGATATCTAGGTAGTGAACTGCATTCAAATGCTATAATGTCCAAATAATAGTTTCTGGAAGATCTGCCACTGGGATATTTACCCACATTACTTTTCATCTCTGCAACTTCATTCTGAAATCATTAGATGTGCTGATGTTGATCTTATATGTACAGTAGATGTCAAGGCACCCAGGCACTCCTTGCTATGGCATACTATTATGAAATAGTGTATCTAGAATCGCTTTAAAACAAAGTGTTTATTGTGTTCTTGCATCAATTGTTATGAAGTTTCAGAGTCCAGGGTCAAAACTATCAGCCTGTTATCTAATCATTCAGTAAATATGTTTCTTGTGATTCATTAAAATGAGGAGCAAGTGCAATAATGTAATATTTTCACGTAGCCCTAAGTCTGTTGGTCCTGTGGGTGAACCGCACTGGTTTGGAGAAAAGTCAGGGTGACCGTTTTAACCTTTATTAACATTAAACACATCTTAGTTAACTAGAGCAGTGTGCCCGTGGACACATCTTGGGCGGGAGTTTGGGGTAACTAGCAATACGAAGCTTGTAATTATGAAGTGATAGAACTTTATGTTCAAAGTATTTTTTCTTTAAATCTGGTAAGGAGCAAATAGAGACTGTAAATAAACATAACAGCAGGATATATTTTTAGAAGCAAATAAAGCACTATGACCATCATATGCTGGTGAATGTTGCATTTGGACTGGAGGTAACTAGGAGGTCTGTGTAACGCTGGGCTTGTGAGTACTGCACTGCCCGGGAAGATTAAACATTGGTATGCACAGCATGAAATGCCTTGGCATCTCACACTGAAAAAACTTTCTCAGTTTCTCGAAAAACATTTTCAGCACTGCGTTGTAAAATAGCTTTCGAAAGAATGCTTCCAGAGAGCGGGAGAGACAGCAAGATACAGAGTGTATAGAAATTGATGATTAGATTGTACTGTAAGACAAACAGTCTGATTTTTGCTTTTGGATGCCGTACAAAAATGTTATTGTGTGGTTTAGGATTGAAGTTCAGTGCTTGAAAGATTAACTGTGAGAGAAGTATGAAGAATGTGCCTTTGGCTGTGCATGTTCAGTTGATACTTGCACTTGTTAGTCATGCAGAAAGTACTTTAGAGAGCAGTTGAGTGCATTACTTTTCATTCTGTGGAAACCCATTTGAAGGATGGATGCAATGTGTTTACTAACTTGATGTGGACTTCTTGATGTTTATATGGTACTGGTTACTGCTGGAAGTAAATGTTTCATTTCTTAAACTTTGTTGTTAAAGCAATATAAAGCTAAAATATTGGCATTAAGATTTCAATTCACAGTTGCCCAAGCGTGTCCATTTGACATCTTTGGAAAGGTCACTGTGATTACCTTGAGGTGGCATTGTATTATTAACTGTACTCATGCTTATGGGGCTCTCTGTTTAATGGTTATAACCAACAGTGTTTAAGACCCTCAGAGAGTTTGGATGTGTTTACAGCCTTCATGCCTATGTAATCAATCATTATATCTGTACTGTTTGAGGAACTGGACAGTCATTCAGTGAACAACCTAACAACTGAGACTGTGGCCAGTTGCATGTTTTGATCCCAGACATCTATTGGGGACATGAAGCACCACTTTAGTTTGGCTGCTTGCATTATTCAGTGCTTTATTTTTCGTCAGCCGGATGTGCTGAAACCTAACATTAAGAGTATCCAAACCAGACAGAGTTCAACATATGTATTAGAGAAGGGAGTTTCTCCCATTGTCCTGGCCAGCAATCCCCCAGATAAAATTGGTCACCGTGACTATTTGTGGGACATTGCCACGCACAAATTGGTGAACACACTCGTTTACAAATGCACAGTCACTATGATTCATAGTAATTCCTGTAAAGCGCTTTGAGATATCTCGACAATGTAACAAGGTGCAGAGATTATTTTGTATGCATGCCATTTACACACGGAAAGTTTCAAATTTAATACATGCTTTTTTCATGGCTGAGGAGCAATTGAATCTCTGAAATTTCCGGCACATAAGGAGATCATTCAGCCCATCAAGTCTGCACCAGCTCTCAAAGCAAGGTGTGCACTCACAACCATTTCACTACCATATCATTTTACTCCTTCAAGCCTCTGTCCTTCATATACCTATCTACTTCGCTCTTGAATCAAAATAGACTCTTATCCTTACAGAGAACGAATGCTTATTAATTTACATTGAATGTTCTGCTCAATGGTTTTTATCATTTTACTAGTTTGGCAGAACCGTGGATTAAAATTGCTTTCCTTGTAATAGGTTCTTTTAAAAGCTTAATGTGGGGCTGTGAGAATTCATCTCCTTCTTGGTTTTGTACAATAGACATTGAATAATCAGAGGAATGGATGGTCTGAGGGTTTGATGATGGTTTGGTGTATATGAAGAGCCGAGAGACTATGCTATCGTACGGCAGTGCGGACAACACTGGGATATACAGTACTGTGACTGGATGTGTTGCTGTGGTGCTGTATATCGTTTTTCTGCAACGTAGTCTGTGATGTACACGTGGCTTTCCTTCACTTTTCTTGTTGAAGCATTCCTATGATGTGAAGGCTGGTTAACCAGCTCCTGAACCAGCTGTTTCCCAGCCTTCATTAACCATTATTAATATCAAATATTTACAAAATGTCAAAGGTGATTCTAATTTTGAGCATCTACAGATTTTGTTTCAAAGTGTCCAGTAGAAAATTCAGTGATTTTTCTGAAAGGGATGAACTTTAAGTCCTCTTACAAATTATTAACTCCATATATCTTTAGTCCTGTATCGCCCTGCGTTTGCTTTGTGTTGTTTTGTGTTGTTCTTCACAATTTCTGTTTTGTTGTCATGCAGAATGTAGACATTTCAAGACCACCCGAGGAAGCACTTGTAACAGTCCCAGCTCACCAATGAGACCTGCTGCCTGCTCTGCTGCCAGTTAGACTAACCCTAGGGTGACTGACCTCCCTTACCATTTTTAACCTCGTGCCACAACTCGGGTTTTTAAACCCTAAAATAATCCTGGAACTGAGGGTCTGTCTTCTTTCTGTTTTTATCAATGTACGTAAAATTTTGATGCTTAGGTAAACAAACGACTTTGGTACAGTACAATGCAACCGTGATTTTTAATTGTCTCCAAGAGATGGGTAAACTATGGGTAAAAATGACACCGCACAAATCTCTGTATACACTGAGCCGTAACTACTGTATGCACCTTCAATGCCTGATGTAAATGTATTTTTTAACCATTTGTAACGTGTGCATCTTCTACACGAATACAAAGCTGTAATAATTGTTTACTTCTGTCGTTGTACCTACTTGTAAGCGTCATTCGAAAGGGAGGAGGTCAATTGATGTGTGTATTAAAGAACAGAACTGAGGATATGTGAAGGGAGGAAGGCAGACAGTGTTTTCAAACTGTTTACATTTTGTAGCTCTTCTTCTGCATGTCCGTGTGACTTGTTCAAGCCCAGGTGTAGATGTACGTAACATAGGGGGAAATCGTCTTGTGCACAAAATGGAATGTATTGATGTAAAATAATACATTTTACCTAACACTAATTTTATCGGAAAGTATAGTAAACTCGATCTAGTCTTTGTCAAGTACCCCTACCTGTTCATTCACATTCAAACCACCTTTTCAGTGACAAAATCAGACTCTTCTTTAAAACTTCATTAACTTAAATTAAAATGATCATTTAGGTGTAAAGAGATTCACAGCAGTTAATTAAGGCAGAACTATGTACTTTTAAATATAATTGGCTGCAAAAACCTCACTAATTCAATCCCTTCTCTGCAGACCGAGGGTGTTGTGCACCCTCATCAGTTTATTCTGATTACCAGTGTTATTGTGGTATGTTGCACTACCCTAAATCATTTTAATTCTGTTAATGCTGAGGGTTTGGACTGTCCCAAATGTATCAGGGTTGAATAGAGATTACATTTACTGTAGTGTGAGGGAATCTGGTTTGCACATAAATACTTGTGCATTGAGATTAAAGGTGATTATGAAGAAATTTCTTGTTCCATTTACCATCAGTCATTTATTTTCTGTGCAGTTTGCAATCCATACCCAATGTATATGTTGCAGGGTATTACACAGCAGATTTCTGAAGTTAAACTGTCTTAAATGAGTCCACTTAAACCGTTCTTGCTGACTGTGCGTGAATACTCTTTGCTTCTTAATCTGTAATTCATGTCCTCTGATTCTACATGTCACACGGCACTTTTTAGATTTTAGACATTTTTAATTTTCTAATTTTTACTTGTGGATCATCGAGACTACTTTCAGCAGTTCTATTTAGCACTTATTGTACATATCTACAGCCTATTTTATCTCGAATCCCTCATTAGAGTATGTCCTCGATGAGTACACAAGTCCTGCTTATAGTTAGTGGTGTTGATGATTGCAGAACCTTTAAATACCTTCCAAGTCACTGAATATGCAATCATTAAAGGGAATGTATTTACCTACAGAAAGATACACCCTTAAGGAAATATGTGCATTCATATTAATGTAACAAATAATTGGACTGGGAATCGGTACCATTGGTCTTGACTCTACATTCAGTGATAGCATTGCGCTCTCATCGATCAGGTATTTGTAGACTGGGTGAAAAAAATCAGAAAATGTTTAACATTGATCAGAGATTGTTGTCTTTCCTCATAGCTACCCCATAGCCCATTGCTCTGTTTTGTACTAATTTGATGGCATGCTACTTGGGATTTGCTCAAAGTTTAGGTTCCAGTTCACACAGACCAATAATTCTATGTATAAAATACATCAGGGATCTGAGGGGCTCTTATCAATTCCGTTTGATTTGTAGACAACAGGACTCAAGGTCCTGTTCCTCTGTGTCACATATTGTGTGATTTATGTGGATTTGCACACAGTACAATACTTTAGTTACCCAGAACTAAACCTATCCAGATTTAAATTTTAGATTAAAACCGCTCTTGTATTTTGGGGGGAGGGTGGGGGGAGCCGATAAAATTGATTTTCTGTATTGAGACATCCTGTTACATACATTGTGCTTCACACATTTAAAAGGTTTCAATATGCAATGCACGTTTTGTCTGTTGAGGTATTATAAGTTGATTTGCTTCTCATTAAATGTTTGTCTTTAAACCACTTTGTTTCTTGTGTCAGGATTATTAACCTATACTGTATAAAGTTGTGGATTAAAACCTTTCTGTTTGCACAATACAAAAGTCCTGTTTGCCCTTCACAGGGTGGCAAATGCAGATTGACAATTCTCCTGTTTCATTCCCCTTTTAACTGACTGCGTAGAGCTAAGCATCCTGGTATCCTGGTGTCATTATCTCTCTCAACGTCTCTTGAAGGTTTCTGTTGTCAGGGAGGAAATGCCTTACTTTCACTTCCCCTCAATGTCATGCCTGAAATTGGGAATTCTCACTGTGAGGAATTGGCTTAAAATTCACATCCTACACTCACTGGCATAGTATTCAGTGCCTCAGCACACTATACTGCAAATCAATTTTTCTAACATCCAGGAGCAGATTTCTATTTGAACTAACCAGATAATTTTTTCCCTCCTGATTTAGGATGAATTCTTTCCTGGGAACGCATGCAGCATGTCTGAATTGTGGAACATTTAAACTTAGGAAACGTCAGATTTTAGCTTGTGTGGCAAGGAAGGGGAACGAAAGGCACACCATTACTTGAGCGAAAGATGCCTGTAAGCTTGTGTTACCATTTGGCTGCTGGAAAACTGTATATTTCTGAGATAGATATAAACTACTCACTTGTGCAAAAGAGAAGCACTAGGGAACCTCGAGTGATATTCAAAGGAACTCAAAGGCGCTAACAGAAATTATACACTTGAAACCTGCAGGACACGTACTTCAACTCCTTTTTATAAAGAAATGATCAGGACCTGCTTCAAGGCAATGCGGCTCAGATGATTTGTAGAGATTTAATTGAAGCAGGAGGTCAGTTTCTTTCAGCCTCCCTCCTCCTTTGTGGAGTCCCGTAGCACGTTGGTAAGAGCGCCTACCTCGCAAGTGAGAGGACCTGGGTTCGATTCCTGGGCAGGGTGAAATCTTAGGCAAGTTTCCTTATTCCACACACCTTTACTTACCTACCAGTAAGTAGCAACCTGTTTTTTAGTCGATTGACAGATTGCTTTCAGGGGTGGTACTCCCTTCAAAATATTTCAACAAAAAAAAATGATCACTCATTTCACGACTGTGGGACGTTGCTGTGTGCAATTGGCTGCCACATTTCACCCACAAAATATACAGTCGATTCACTTCATAGTATATTCTGTGAAGCACTTTAAGACGTCTCAATGCAAAGATTAATATTCCGCCCCCACCCCCCCAAAGTTCCATGTTAGATTTACAGAACCCCAATGTTAAACATCTAGAATCCATCTGAACTACATTGCTTTGTAAATCAAGGAATTTATTTATAAATATGGTAAAGGCAACAGACAAAATTTGAATCCCTGTTTATGTTGAGTTAACTGTTCTGGGATTGAGCAGTAGTTTGGATGATACATTTGGTCTCAGTATTCCTGTGATAGGGAGGAAGAATCACACAGGTTTCCAGGTCTTGTTCCCAATCCATTGAGCTCTACTGGAAGTGTGTGTCAGGTTTAACAGTGGATCATGTCTGTTGAAAGTAGTAACTTGGACAAGGTCACAGCAACTTCTGAAAGAGACAAAGTGAGTAATATATCTGGACTTGTGTGTTATCTGTGATTTCTAAAGTGACTGTTCAAAAGATGGCAAACGTGTCAGCAGGGAATGCGGCTTATTGAAATGTAGTATAGTTTGTCTTAATTCAATACCTTGCATTTGATATAGCGTGTTATTCCGTTATTAAAGCACTTACAGGACTTTACTGTAAAGTGTAGGTACTGTTGTGCATTTGTAGGTGAACCTGGCAGCCAATATTTGTAAGTGAATATTCCACAGTCACGAAGTGAATAAACCCAACATATTCTGGGGATTATTGGCCAGGACACTGGGAGAAATGCCCTTGTAATTTCAGACAGTGCCATGGGATTTTTAACATATACATGAGGAGGCAGACAGGAACTTGGTTTAACATTTCATTTGAAGGATGGCATCTCTAACAATCCAGCACTGTATTGGAGTGTCGGTGTAGACTATGAGCTCAAAGTAGCAGCATGGGGTTTGAGCCCACAACCTTCTGCCTCGGAGATGAGAGTGATACCAACTGAGCCAGGCTGAGTCCTACGAGTCTTCCACCCACACTAAAAAAAGACTGACTGATTGCCTGCTGAGAGAGGTGCAATGGGTGACCATTCAGCTCCCCTACCTCAAAGTTACCACTATTTTTAATTATTGTTTGCTCCGTGACTGAAGGATTTTCATCATCAGATCTGTCATATAAAAGAAGCATTAAATAAATCCAGAGCCTTCCTGGAAACTCATTTGTGGAGTCCTGTAGCTCAGTGGTTAGAGCACCGCTTTGCAAGTGAGAGACCTGAGTTCAATTCCAGGCAGAGGGCGAAACCTCGGGCAAGTTTCCTTACTCCACACAGAGCCTAATAATAATCCCTCCAAAAGTAAAACAATATTAAATTGGTCGTTTCAATCTACGACTGTTTGTGGGACATTGCTGTGCGCAATTGGCTGCCGCGTTCGCCCACAAATACACAGTCAATTCACTTTACAGTGTGTTCTGTGAAGCGCTTTGGGACGTCCTCCCGACGTGAAAAGCGCTATATCAAATGCAAGGATTATTATTATAACGATTCATTACTCTGTGTAAAGAAATGTATGAGGTGGACGTAAGGTGATAGGAATGTCTCCCTTGTTCATTAATGTTCTTGATGATGGAATAGTTCGGGTATCGACATCTGCAAGTTATACTCAACTTTGTGGAATGGTGAGTTAATGAAGAAGCTGTTGTGTTGCGTTTGGACCTAGAAAAAACTAACTGCAGAGTTTAGAGGATAGTTTAGGGAACTTTAAGTAAGAGACTCTGACCTTTTCAGTGTTGGGTGTGAAAGTAACTAAACCAGAGGAAGTCATTAAAAGCTGAAGTAGGACGAATTTGGAGCCATAGTGTTAGAATGGGCAATACGTTATATTTAGTGCTTGTCATGCAAACAAGGGTGCAACAATTAAGAAGCGGTGTATTGGAAAGAGCTATCATGTTTGTACTGTATCGGGGAACCACTCTTCTCTGTGGGAAAGGGGGCGGCTGTGAATTCCCGGGAATTAGATCAAGTCCCATGAAGCCAGACCAAATAATTTTATGTTGTCCTCCTTTAGGGAAGGCAGGTAAGGGAGGATGTGACTGACACACCCAGAGTGTTTCAAATAATAACAATATGGCTGTTTATTTATCCTAGTGAACAATGTGCTTTACATGGGGTTAAGTGGGAAAACTGTGTGAATGTTCCTTCTGAGAGTATTGAATACTTAAACTGTCACCAAATATGATTAAAGCGTGAAAATTATATAATGGAACCGTTCTTTGTTGCAAGAGATTGAAGAGGCTGCAAGCACTAGATAATAAGGTGCCAAAAAAAGAACAACATGCACAGAATCATAATCAGAGACAGGAATTTATTCTTATGGAGGAATGGATTATGGAGGAACGAACGGTCTTTGGTTCAGTACTCGATGGAAAAGAGTGAAAAAAAGATGGTGGAAGGCTGGGGGAGGAGGTTACGAGAGGAGCGGGAGATGAGGAAGTGGTCAGAGATATCCTTGTCCACGATAAACAGCTTGGAGATGTCAAGGCCATGGGTATTGATTAGATCAAAGGACTTCCTAACCCCTAACCAATCTGCTCGCTCCCTCCGCACAGCGGGCTCCGGCCTGCTTCACGTCCCCCACCTTGCCTGCCCCACCGAGAGACCGAGAGAGGTTTGGGAGATGAGGGCCACCCATTTCTCCCACCCCGTGACCTCGCTCCCTCTCCGTGAAACGTGCTGTCTCATTGGTCTTCTCTAGGAAGAGAAGTTCACGATCCATTCCAAGAAACATCTCTAGGATTCCCACGTGTAGGATTCTCTGCTTGGTTTAGATACTCACGGTGATGGGTTTCCGCATTTGTCAGACACCCAACTGACCAAAACTAAATTCTTGAGGCCTCGCCTTTCCCCTTCCCTCTACATTTTCAATTGTTTTTAAGCCTTCTCTGGTTTGAGTCTGTATTCAACCGCATCCTGTTCTACACCTGATTTAAGGTGTTGCTGACTGGAGCAGTTGGTATGGTTTCTGGATTATTTCTATGCGGAGACGTATATAATGGAAGAACCTACACTTGCAGTCGATGTGAATAACTTTTAGGTCACATTGTGTGTGTGTGTGTGTGTGTGCGTGTGTGAAAAAAAAAAGTGTTTATATTGTGTAACTCTGAACCAGCTAATAAAGAATTGTTGTAAAAAGGTTTCAGTGTACTGGAATTATGGATGGACTTTGTTTTATGGTGTGGGCTACATCGTTTTAGCTCACGCAATCTAATTTTTATGGGACTAGTGTAGACCCCAGCTCGGGTCTGAAATGCTGTAGGCTCTCCAGTGCCTTGGGACCTCCTGCCAACGTGAAAGGCACGATACAAATGTAATCTTGTAATGGGCTGAATGTTTGTTGTCATGTCCCCTTTTATCTGCTCATCGATAAATATCTGACAGTAAAAGCCAATGTTCCCCCAACAACCACTTTCCAACTGACTATTACAAGAAACGAACTGAGCAGCTCAACATCAACCATAACAACCAGAGAACAACAGGAGGAAGACTCACTCGCTCATTGCCTCCAGCAGATCTAACTCACATTCTCTGTGACATGGTTAACTGCTCTAACCTGTCCTATCTCCTCCCCTCCCCACCCCTCACTGGTGTAACTGTTTATGCACCGATTCTAAGCTGAATTAAATATATTTCTTATCAAGAACACAGCAAACGTGCCTTGCCTGGGCTGCACCAACTAAACAACTCACTCGAGTACTGTGATGCTTGTTCCCAGTGGTGGTGGTGATGATAATAATACTTGCTTTTGATATAGTGCATTATCACCTCAAAGCGTTTCACCAAATATACTGTAAAGTGAATTGACTGTGTAGTTTGTGGGCGAAACGCAGCAGTCAATTGCCCACAGCCGCGTCCCACAAAGAGTCGTGGATTGAGTGACCAATAAAATTATTTTGTTTCTTTTTGAAGTAATTATCAGCCCCGGAAAAGCGATTCCTCCAATTGACAAACGTCCAGGTTCCTCCTTACCACCAGATAAACAGAGGCGTGTCGAGTAAAGAAACTTGCCCAACATTTAGCCTGATTGGGAAGCTCCATTGATGACTTTACACTGACTGATCCTCCCCTTTTTATGACCTTTCACACCCTAAACCAAATGTGATATCTCCAGCTTTCAACTTTGCTTCATTCCAGCCCTTCTTGTCTATATTATTGGTACTAACACACATTGCCAATTTCCTCTCTCGTCTCACCTACTATCCAAGAAGTCCTCACCTCCGCACTATGTTGTAACCATGACTCATCACATTGTCTCCTAACTCGCTGCTTGGAAACCCGGGGAGTGTCACTGGGTTATAATTAGAAGACATGAAAAGAAGGAAATGAAAATTATAATCATAATCCCTTGCATTTGATATCACGCCTTCGAGACGTCTCAAAGCCCTTCACAGAATACACTGTAAAGTGAATTGACTGTATATTTTATGGACAAAATGCAGCAGCCAATTGCGCACAGCAGCGTCCCCACAAACCGCCGTGGATCGAGTGACCCTTTTTCTTTAAATTGAAGGGATTCCTTCAAAAGTGATCCGCCAATCGACTGACAACCGGGGCTTATACTTATACTAGATAAACAGAGGCGTGCGGAGTAAGGAAACTTGCCTAGATTACAAACAGTGGTGTGAGATGTTTGGCGTCCACCTAGGCAGGCAGATGGGATCTTGGTTCAGCATCTCAAAAAGAAATTAGAAAGATGCATGAAAAAGGTAATGGACAGGGAGCAGGAGAACGGGATGAGATGGGGACGCCTGATGGTCTTAACGTCCCATTTCGGTGCTGCAATATTCTTTGATTGATTGATCTTGCTTTCAATTGCAAACATGTCCCTTCGTGTTGTGTGTACAACTGAGTGGAGGTAAAGCACAGCCGCCTGTGCTCTTAACACTGCGCCTTTCTCTGTGTCTTAACTCCTGTCACTTTCTCTTTTGGATTCAGGTCGTACACGTGAACCGCTCCTGGGAGCAGGCACTGCAGACCATACCAAGTCATCTTTAGCTGCAGCTTAGCAGACCGGGGATAAAGTCTGCCCTCTACAGACAACACGCCGTTCGTTCACAGGCACCCTGGCCACACTAGCAGAATGTGTATAGGACCTTTCACCACAGCTCACGCTGAACCTTTAATATGTAAGTTCGCAGCCTCGGAAGCGCACTGAAACTCTCAACGGTGCCTCGAGACACAAGGCTGTCTCCTTGAACTGGATGTATCAAGACAGCCACCGGCTGCATCCAGCAGATCTGAGGAGAATCGGTGCTCTACATCCTTAACGTTTCTACTGATGTGTCTGTGTCATTCGAGTCTGTAAAAGGTTTTGTTGGTGATGCTTCGGGTGATGTCTCCACTTGATTTGCATGCTTGTGTGTTATGAAGAGCTGTTATTGGGTTTGAAGATGTGATATGTTCTGTTTTATAACGTGACGGAAAGTCTACTTTTATTCAGCAAGTCGGTGAGGTGGGTTCTCTTCGGTCCCTCAGTACCACAGCTCCCGGGCCTCTGGCCTGGTTTTATTCGGTGGAAATGGTAGAGAGGAGACAACAAGGTGATTGGTAATGTGTGCCATGAACTCAACACACACCACACAAATGACTGTGTGACCAACCTGCCAGTTAAACAATATTGATGGGGGGGGGGAAGAGTGAGAGAGCAGCAGCCCAAGTGAGAACTATATTCACCATAAAGCACCTGCCAACTGTGGGAGCTGACTCACCTCGGTGTTACTCTCTCTCACTGAGGCAGAGCAGAGAGGGGGAGAGAGGGCTGGACCTGAGCAAACCAGCCTCATGCTTATTCTTTACTCCACGCCATATTAGCTTTTAAGAGGGGAGTCAGATAAACAGCAGAAAAGGAGAAATATAAAAGGATACGGGAAAAGTCAGGAGAATGAGACTGAACAAAGTATTGGGCCGAATGGCTTTCCTCTGTGCTGTAAATGTTTATGAGTCCGCGGCTTTGTCTCTGAAGTAGAAGTGAGAATGAACCTCTTGATAGATTCACAGGGTGATCTGACTTGCCTCCTCTTCTCTCCCCTCTCTTCCCCCCCCCACCCCCTCTGCCAACCCAGTGAGACGAGGAAGACTCCAAACTGAGCCCCAGAGGGAAGTCTAAGCAGTTTTGCACAGACAGTGTGACTTTGCATGGTTATATATTCGGGCTTATTAGAAGAAACAACTTTATATAACGGCTTTCACCCAGGATAGCACCTGGGAGTACTGCACAATGCTGGGGTTTCCACAGGGTGGGGGAGGATGGAGGGGTGGGGGGAGAGAGGATTAGAGGGAACGAGCCATCGGGGCAGTCAAAGCGATATTACAATTTGTTGTGTGTTTTTTTATTATTAATCGAAACAACAGAAAATTCAGAAATGGAAACTATTTTGTGAATATCTATTGTACAGGGTGTCCCATATAGACATGTTACCCCCCCCCCACCCATGTTTTTTCCCACAGCGCACTGACCAACAGCTGAAACACGTGAAAGAATGGTGATAATTGTATTTAGAAGTACTTAATTGTATTCAGTACAAGTGTTTAACTATTCAGACGTCCAGAGGATCAGTGTATATGTGTGTGTTGTGTGCGCCATTATTTTCATGGCAGATAATGATCCGTTGCCACAGTTTGTGGTGTGATATCTTGCGTAACGTGGATGGAGCGAGGAGGAAAAATGTGTCTCTGACAGCTTGTTTCAGCTCTGCCATAGTATATCGCTGTTTTGTAAGGTTTTGGTGGGGGGTGGGGGGGGGGCAACAGGACTTTGTGGACACCCTGTATATTCAGGAAGAGTTGAAACAGGGAAATAGGGAGGGCACAGCAAAGCAGGTTTACTATTGAAACGATCACGAGTAAGTGTTGTGATTCCCATTGACCGGCTCCTAAATGAATGGGGTCAGCAGAGAGTGACAGGAGGGCAGCAGCGCTCAATAAAAACATCAGGCGCTCAGCATCTGCCTCTCACAGTAAACGCTGAAGTCTCTGCGATTAACGCACCGCACAGGAAAGGGATGATTGTCTCTTAATTGGCTGTACCGTGTCACTGACACCTCAGAGTATGGGGTGGGGCGGGAGAGGGGGTGGGGGGGGAATTGTTCTCAGCCGTGAGGGGGAGGATTTGTCATCTTCTTGGTGTCAGTGTGACACAGTTGGGGTTTGTGCTGCACTGAAAGATGTTCGTGCCTCTGCAGGTGAGGAATGACGCGGAGTGAATGTTGGCAAAGAGCGCAGAGACGTGACGAGAGCTCAGACCTGCTAACGGCCGATTAAATAAAACTGATCAATCTGTTTTAAATCCGTGTCGGGTGTTTGTTGACGACTGCCGACAATGATAATCCTTGCATTTGCTGTAGCGCCTCGTCGCGTCGCCGAGGACGTCTCAAAGCGCTTCGCAGAACATGATGCGAAGTGATATTTTGTGGACGAAACGCGGCAGCCATTTATTTGCACCCAGCAGCGTCCCACAAACAAGTCGTGCGTTGAGTGCGATTACAGCAGCAGCCGCACTGGACGAGGAAAGCACCTAAATTTGTTGTGTAAATCCGGTGAGGTCCGAGAGGCACCACCGCCACGACAACTCGCAATTTATATAGCGCCCTTCACGAGGGGCGGCATCTCGGAGTGGAGCCTGACGCCGAGCCGGGGTGGAGGGGGGGGTTGGGAGGCGGTGACCGTGAACGCGGTCGGTCAAAGAGGATCGAAAAGAGCAAACGGCGCAGCAAACGGATCGGAAAAACATTCTCCGACGTCTGGTCTGTGCCACTGGCAGTTCCTTGAGGGGAGGGCGCCATCCTGCGATGTGTTGTGGTATCGCGTTGGGGTTGAGTGGTTTTATTCCTACGGACAATTTCAAACGTGAAGTCACGGGATTTTTTTTCTTGCTTAAAAGACGCTGGTTTTAGGAAGGGGGGCGGGGGGGTGGTGGTGGGGGGGGGTCACAGACGTGTGTAACCTGGTTGCAATGCTGCACACTGTTTCTTATGTTCGATTCATTGCCTTCTTCGGAGAAGGGAGTTACTCGCGAAACATTTCTTTTGAAAATTACGCCCGAGTAATTAACGTTTCCCCCGAGAGCGGAATCATCTCGCAACCATCGGAATTTAAGGCATTGCGCCACAAAGGAAGTGTTGAGCTGTGAATTATCTCGTCACTCAAGGCATGTGGAAAGCCAACAAGATTTAAGGCTTTCAATCAGAGCGATGTACCATTATTTTTTTTTTTTAGAAAACTGAAATGTTTCCTCCATGAAACACTTTTATCGGACGAGAAAGAACTGGAACCGTGAAGGACGTGGGTCAGACTCTTTAGCAGGAGATAAGAGGAAGGAAGAAGAGCCTCTGAATAGTAACTTTAAATAATGTACATCGTTTTATTTGGGACATTAGTACAAAGACAAAAAAAAAAAATGGATGGTAGTTTAAAAATAAAACAATTAAAAGCAGACCCTTAGTTTCACCAATATTTTCCAAGGTAACTCTATATACAACACTCCTGACGTTATGTTACTGACATTCAAGTAACCGGCACAAAGAACGCACACGGGATCTGGGAGACAACAACAGGGCTGTGGTTAACCCTGCATGCACACCACACTGCACCATAACTGCTGCCATTAAGGGGAGAGGACGGGGAGGGGGGTGGGGGGTGGGGGCGGAGGGTGGTGGTGGGGGAGGAGGGGGCGAAAGAGGAGACATGATGTGGACAGGAAAAGAAAATGACAATTTACTGAGGATTCCATTGGGTTAACAGATACTGATTAGCTGATGATCCAATACTTTCCTCTCTCTCTCTCTCCCCCACCCCCCCCCCCCCCAACCCTCACACGACCATCCCCCCAATTCGGGTTTTGCCCCCGACACCGACCGACCTGGAGTATGGATCAAGACGAGGGTTTTTTTTTTTTTGGAGGCGGGGGGGGGGGGGAAACTGATGCATTGCTATGAATGCCCCATGCACGGCTCGGGCAGACGCTATTAATTCGCGACCAGTCTCTCCATGTTGGGATTGGTGAAGGAGAATCCAGCGAAGGCCGTCTGATCCATGGAGTCGATCAGATTCTTCTCCCCCTGAGACAGGCGAGGCTTCTCGCTCAAGAATTCCCGGTCGAAGTTGCTGAAGTCACCTGCGGATTTCTACGGAGGTGCAAGAAACAGCAATGAACACCACGTGGGTCACAACAAGGTCTCGGGCCGCGCCAAAACCTTGCGGCGGGTTAAATAATCAACGGGTCAACAATAATAATAATAATTCTAATAAATATTAATCCCTGCATTTGATATAGCGCCTCATCAGGAGGAGGCTTTCAGACCTACCACTTTGGGTTTGAAGGGCGGGTCTATCTCCCTATTCTCGAGCTCGGACCAGTTGATTGTTTTGAAGAAGGAATGGAGTTTGATGTTCCCTGTAATGCCGAGTCTCTTCAACGGATCTCGTTCAAACAGCTGCAATGAGAAAGGAACCGATCACCAGCAGGCCACGGCTTGCTCCGAGAGCACAGCACCTGTCCCTCATTCCCAAGCCTCAACACAAAGACGCAGAGTTAGTTGTAGAACAAATAACTGGGCAAAGTCCTGCACACGATGGTGAATATCCCAACTGTAACTGGACAACTAATTTGCCCCCACAATTTTTTTCACCTCTGGTTTAACCCCAGCTCTAACCTCACCTGATGCTCTGCCTCATTTGTGTCCCGAGAAACCTGGCTACCCAGTGAAGATGGCAAAACATGACAGTTTTAGCTCCAGGATCTCTGCAGCAAACCCACACGACTAGAACGTGAACTCACACGAGGCGAATCGGCGGTATATTTTGTGGGCGGAACGCGGCAGCCAACTGCGCACAGCAGCGAACCCCGCAGAACCGTCGTGGATTCGAGCGGCCAATTGTGTTTAATTATCGCGTGTGAAATCAGGTAATATAATCGCACCGAAGGGACAAGATCCTGGTGGACAGCAATTGGCTAAACGCACACCAGCCTGGTCGCTTACCTGCTCGAGAAGGTCTTTGGATTCCTTGGTTATCCAGCGAGGGTAATGTGGGACATCCACTCGGATCGACTCGAACAGCTCATCCTCATCGTCGCCGTGGAAAGGGGATTGTCCGATCAGCATCTCGTACAGCAGCACCCCGAACGACCACCAGTCCACGGAGAAGGTGTACTTCTGTCCCAGCAGAATCTTGTCAAGAGCCAGAGATACGAGTCAGTTCCATCGGTTTAATGTCAATCCCAGATCCAATCCTTCGTGTCTCTCTCTCTCCCCACCCACCCCTGCCCGCCCCCAAATGTGAGCCAAAACCCCGAGCCGACGCTATAAAACCGCCCACCCAGGGCCCCCACCCACCCACCCACCCACACCCCTCTTACCTCGGGGGCGATGTAGTCGGGTGTGCCGCAGAATGTCGTTGCTCTGTTCTCCCCGAAAACGTTCTCTTTGCACATGCCGAAGTCGGCGATTTTAATGTGTCCGTCCATGTCCAGCATCACGTTGTCCAGCTTGAGGTCACTGAGCGAGGGGAACAATCTGTCAGAAACAGCAATCTGTCTCCCCTTCCCCCGGGTCGACCCCAGTCGCCTGACCCTCTGGGAGCGAAGCTGTAACCAGGGATAATTATCCCGACATTCGATATATAGCCCTTTTCATGTCCGCAGGATATCTCAAAGAGAGTCGCAGGATGATAATAATATTAATAATAATCCTTGCATTTGATACGGCGCCTTATCACGTCGTTTAGACGTCTGAAAGTGCTTCGCAGGTTACGCTGTAAAGTGTAGTGACTGTGATTATTGCAGCAACCATACAGGGTATTGTTGTGGGCAAACCTGGTGGCCACTTTGCGAACCGTAATGTCTCCCAAACAGCCATGAATTGATCCATTTCCATTTTATCTGTGGGATTGTTGGCCAGGACCCCCCCCCCCCCACAGCCCCCACACCCCCCAGAGAAACTCCCTTCTCTTTTCAAATAAGAGCCGTGGGATCCTGCAACCTGCAGCTGACGGGACCTCGGACCTGAAGACCTTTCTTTTCGACCTCGCCTCTAATAACAACAGTAATAATCCTTGCATTTGACATAGCGCTTTTCACGTCTTCTCGACGTCTTAAAGCGCTTCACGGAATATGCTGTAAAGTGAATTAACCGTATATTTGTGGGCGAAACGCGGCGGCCGATTGCGCACAGCAGCGTCCCACAACCAGACGTGGATTGAAAATGACCAATTTATTATTATTTTTTTTTTGGAGGGATTATTATTAGTTTTTTTTTTTTCTTTGGCCGCCTTCCCCCCCCCTCCCTCTTGGCTCGGCCCCCGGGATCCGCTACCGTGAAGCTCTCTGAGGCGCCGTCCGGCGTGGAGGGCGCGCTATGTAAATCCAAGTTGTTGTTGTTGTTGAACGCCTCTTCCGAAGGTCGGCTCCTGGGACAATGCAGGGTAACCCCCCTCCACCCTACCCCACCCCAACCCTCGGCACTGCACTGGAGCGTCAAAGTTCAACACCTGACTCAGAGGCGAGAGTGAAAGCCACTCAGCAGCTGACACCCACACAACAGAAACTCAGATCGTCTGATGCAATAAAGACTCTATAGAAACTGCAAGTTCTATCTTCCTAAAACTAGTCGATCTCACGGCTCCAGTGCCGGTGACTGTGAGTTTCCCCACGTTTACATTTTAAATCCTCCCCCCCGTCCCCGTCCCCCAACTACACAGTCAATTCGCTTTACAGTAACATCCTGTGAAGCGCTTTGAGATGTCTCGACCACGTGATAAGGCGCAGTATCGAATGCGTGGATTATTATTATTATTATGATATATTATTATGTTTACTGACCACACATTGTGAGGAGGTGCTCTCGCCAGCTGGTCCATACTCACCGGTAAATGATCCCCTTCGAGTGCAGGAACTGTAAACCGCAGATTATTTCAGCTCCGTAAAACCTAGTTTCCAGAAAAGAGAAAAGTGCTGATGGTTGTGACCAATAACTCATTGCATTCAGACCCGCAGTCTTTACAGACCCCAACAACAGGCCGTTTGACCCATCGTAGAAGTCGCTGGGAACGCTCAGCAGCTCAGGCAGCATCTATGGAGAGAGGAACGTGGGTTAACTTTTCAGGTCGATGACCTGTCGGTGAAACGTTAACACACTCCCCTCTCTCCATAGATGCTGCCTGAGCTGCTGAGGGCTCCCAGACACTTCTGGTTTTTTTTTATTTCAGATTTCTGCGGTATTTTTCCTTCAGTTCATTTGACCCGTCGTGTTTGGCTGACACTTTGCACCACAAAAAGCCGCCCGACTGAAGTCTGTGAGGCCAATGGTTGTGTTCAGCCTCCGCAGGCCGAGCGAGGCGAGACGTTGGCTGTTAATCGGCTAATTTTAATGAGGTAACGGGATCTGCAGCGGCTGCTGTGTTTGTGTATCACCATCTGCAGCTCGGAGCCTTGTTCTGGGAGCGTAAATGGGTCTTAATCGGATCAGGGATTGGTTACGAGATGCCCAGCTTTCCGCGGCGAAGGAACCCGATCCGAAGCTAAATATTTAAAGACAGCGGCTCACACACAGCCAACCCTGTAGCCCATCAGCCCAAAGACTGACTACATACAGCCCTGCAGTGTAACCAGGGGCTGGACCACTGACCTCAACTGAGCCAAACACACAGGCAGACCAGGGAGTGGACAGTGTGGGCCGGTATCAGCAGCGAGGACTGAGTGAGCAGCTCTGCAGTAATGAGTGGGTTATGGCAGAAAGTCCGCAATTGACAGCTGTGCACGTCTGACTAGAGAGAGGTATCATTGGCAGCTGCTGGAATGGGTCCCGGCTGAGAGCAGAGCAGGTGGAAGACCTGTGCGTGCACTCGAACAGCAGACTGATGCTGGGAGAGCAGACGGGGCGAGAGAATGTGCAGGGTTGGGCTACAAAAGTTCTCATTTCTCCCTCAAATCTGGTCCCCGGCCAAGACTGCTTTCAAAAACGACCGCCTGCATTTATTTAGCGTCCTGGAGCACTTTCGTCTCCCTCCGCCACATCGCCCCCCACCCCCCCGCACTCTTAGAAATAAGGTGGAATTTGCCGCCAAATTCCCTCCTCAAACTGGGCTTCCTCCAGTGTCTGGCGGTGAGGGGTTTCGCTATAAAGCTGCGGCAGGGAGTTCTCTAACGCCCTCCTCGCCGGCCTCCCCTCCACTACCATCCATAAAATCAAGGTCAGGAAAAACTCTGCCGCCCGCACTCTTACCCGCACCAAACTCCGCTCCCCGATCCCCCCAGTCCTGGCCAGTCTGCACCGGCTGCCTGTCCCAGAGAGGATCGACTTCAAGATCCTCACCCTTGTCTTCAAATCCCTGCACTCCTCTGCACCCCCCGACCTCTCTGACCTCCTCTCTCCTCAAAACAGCACCCGTGGCCTGCGTTCCCCCGGGTCTGGCCTCCTCCTCGTCCCCCGAGTCCTCCGCTCCACCCTCGGCGGTCGTGCCTTCAGCCACTACGCCCCAAGGCTGTGGAACTCCCTTCCTCACTCTCTTCGCCTCGCCCCCCTCTCCTCCCACTTTCAGGTCTCGGCTAAAGATCTTTCTTTTCGACCGCGCCTTTGGTCACCTTCCTCCCCTTCCGCCCCCCACCCCCCCGCGGCTCGGCCCCGGGACCCATTACTGCGAAGCGCTCTGAGACGCCGTATATAAACCAAGTTGCTGTATAAATCCAAGTTGTTGTTGTATCTTCTGAGTGCAGGAAGAGCTCACGTTAGCGAGAGTGTCGTAGGCAAAGTTCGTAACGTGAAAGAGGCCGTCAGGTTCAACTGAGTGAATATCAGGAGTATCCGCAACAAACTGTTTGGAATCGAAGTCGAGGCTCTGACTATTTTTGGGAGCTGCGTAATTTGTTACCACAGAAACTCAATGACTGGTGCCCGGCAAGACACACCCAACCTCAACCAGCCAGGCGGCAAATAGCACTTACATTGCTCTGTAAAGATCGAAGCGACCTTTGTCCTGTATGTGGAACATGAGGTCACCACCATTCAAATACTCCATCACAAAGAAGAGATGCTCCTGTCAAGGAAACACACGACACATTGATGTTGTTGATCTGTGGATCTAAATCACTGCGAGTGTTCAGTCGGTTCTGAATATCTTATTCACCCGTTTAATAATAATAATAAATAATAACCCTCGCATTTTGTACAGCGCCTTATCACGTCTTCGAGACGTCCCAAAGCGCTGCACAGGATACACCGTAAAGTCAATTGACTGTATGTTTTGTGGGTCAAACGCGGCAGCCAATTGCGCACAGCGGCGTCCAACAAGTCGTGGATTGAGTGACCAGATTTTTTAGTTCTTTTTAATCTTTTTTCAAAGGGATTATTACCACCGGAAATGCGATCTGCCAATCGACTAACAACAATAGTCTTCCTATTTACTGCTGGGTAAACAGAGGTGTGTGCCTAAAACTTGCCTAACATCTCTCCCTGCTCGGGAATCGAACCCAGGTCCTCTCGCTTGTGAGGCGAGCGCTCTAACCACTGAGCTACGGGCGATGGGTGTCGTATGGCGTGGGCGATGATGGGCCTGGTTACCTTGGTTTGGAAAGTGCAGTAGAGGTGGGTGAGGAAGGGGTTGTCCCAGGCCAGCGCCAGCACCCGCTTCTCCACCATGGTGCACTCCACATCGTCGTCCATTAGCACCACGTCCTTCTTCAGGGCTTTGATGGCAAAGAATTTGTTCTTCCCTTTCAGCTCCGCCAGCAGCACCTGTGTGTGGCCGAGAGTAACGGGCTGTTAAAACACTGATCGCAACAGATACGAGCAGAACCTGACCCCGGTTTCTTTCATGAAACAAGTAAAAAAAAATTCTGTGGGTGATTCTCCACTACTTTAATCTCTCATCCCACTTTTTAACTCTCTATACCTGCTCCCATGGTCTAAGTCAGGGTGGTCCAACCAATTTCAACCCCTCCCTCCATTTTATCTGACCCATCGCCCCCTCCATAACCTATAAATGCTAAGTTTCTGGAAGGAAAACACAAAAATGTTGCTTCCGTGGCCCGCAGATGTTTCTCAAATAAGCCCTCAGCAGCCAAAAGGTTGCGCTCCCCCTGCCCCATACTAGTCTAAGTTAATTAGCCTCTTAGACTTACTTATCTGTGCCTTCCCCATGTCAAAGATGATCTTTGTCCCCTTCAATCTATTCACAAGTTCAGTTACTGACTTCCGCCCCCTTCAAAACCTCCTAAAAACACCTCTCTTTTAGCAGTGATGAGGCGCTGGATCAAATGCAAGGATTATCATTATTATTACTAACACCGTTAATTCTCCCCGTCGCTATTTCAGTCAGACGTTCATCCCACTCGGAAGCCGTTGGCACTGTTGAAGAGTTTTCAAATTTGCCGCTCTCGCACTCACCTTCCCGAAGCTGCCTTTCCCCAGCACCTTGTGGAAGGTAAAGTTCTCCAGGGTCATTTTCTTCAGGGTTTCGTGGCGGAGGCTGGGACCCCTGGCGGGAGGCTTCGGGGAGACGCCCTCCCACAATCGTCCGTATTGGCCAGAATCTGCTTAAACACGGGCACAAGTCAGTCACCGAAACCAAGACCCAAGTCTGCAACGTTGGCTGCGGCTTTCGTTTGCTTTGCAACGCACGGCCGATCCTGACACTGACCCACACTGTATATACGCTCGTGCCAGAGTTAGTTTGCGGACAGCAATGAGGACCTGTTTCCTTACCTGCGCGGGTCTGGTTTTGCAGCCCCACATCCCAAGGTGTTGAATTGGTGGTAAATGGTCACGTTTGAAACAGATACAGAGGTGGGGAAGAGGGAGGCGGTGGGAAGGTAATGGCGCCTTTTGTGTTTCAATAACAAGATCCTAAAATCAATGTTTATCATCTTGTTTTCCATTGATGACCAGAGTTTATTTCCTCCTAAATCAGCCTCCGTTATTTCAGGAGTTGCTGACAACCTATCTTAGGAGCCGCTTCTCAGCAACCGCCAGAGCTGCAGTTACTGTAACCCTGTCACTTCCCTTCTCTCGTTCAGGTCAGTGACGGCATTTGCCTGTGGCCTATCCGCCTGTCTGAACCCATCCTCTGGGGACCTGATCTGTGGACTTGGCTCTGTATTGTGAACAGCGACTCCAGGAGCTGCCTCTCACTCTCACTGCACGACTACATAAGGCTTTATATGAAATGCAAGGATTATTATGATTATATTGTTATATACCACAGCCCAGGCAGCAGTCCCAAACACTTTGTGACACATCCTCCCGACGTGAAGGCAGCTATATATTAGTGCAAACTGTATTGCATTATGTATATCCTCCTCCCAAACCCTTTAACCTTTCCTACCTCATTTATTTACTTTAACACAGTGACACACTGAACAGAACACTCCTCTCAAATGCCGCACCCATGAGCTTTCTGCCTTGAGGAAGCCGTGTGTCAAATTGCCAGCTTCAGTTGCTCTGTCTACCAGGAGGAGTCAGTCACAGCCCCATCACTGTGGCCTGACAAAAGTCTCCCTGTAACCCAACCCTGACCTTGTCCCACATTATATACACAGATGCCAGAGCTTGAATGTCAGCAAAAACAAATTGGCATTGATACCGTACAGCACCTTTCACGTCGGGAGGATGTCCCAAGATGCTGGACAGTCCAGGGTTGAGGTTGGGAGCTGATGGGATTTGGGGATGGGGCGGGGGGTGGGTGGGTGGGTGAAAGATGACCAAAGGCACGATCAACGAGAAGGTCTTGAAAGGAGGCGAGGGAATGGGCGAGTTGGAGTAGGGACTCGGTGATTGGAGTTCCAGCGAGTGGGGGAACAGAAGACCAAGGTCCATCTAGTTCACCTTCCACCATCCTGGCAGTCGCTTGGCATATCGTGTCCCCAAACTATATACAGTGTACCCCGAGATGAGGAAGGCAGAAAAGCCTGACTGACAATGGGCAGCAGTGAGGACCATGTGCTCCTTACCTATATTGTCCAGGTTTGCGGCACCTGGAGTCCCGAATTGTTGGTAAATGCCCACGCTGGAGTTGTCGCCCGTACTCCCATCGGACTTCCTTGTGGACGATTTCTAAAAGAAGAAGTGGGTTTCAGAGTGGGGCTGGGCAACGAGGGAGCAGGAAGAGGGAGGGGAGAGATGGGGAGAGGGTTGGGGGGCTGCGGGGGAAAGCAAAGAACAGACTTTTCCCAATTTTCCCCTCTGCCCCCTGGACCCTCTTCACAAATGCCTTTTCCAGTTTTGTGAGGGGTGGTGGTGGTGGGGGGGGGGGCATGTGGGGGGAAGGGGGTGAAAGGAGTGGCTTGGCTCCTGATCCCAAAGTTACAAGCATTACGCGCTGGTCTTTGCAGGTGTTGCGTTGGGAGCAGCTCTCGGTTCTGTGTTGGGGGTAAGCGCTGGGGCTTGGGCTGGAGGCTGGGGGTCGGGCACTGGGCGTGAGGGCAGTCCTGATGCTGAATCCTTGCCCCTTACCATACTGATCTGGTTCAGGGCCTCTGCCATCAGCTTCTGGTTGATGCCGCACATATTTGCCACCTTGGTCTGGCACTTGTGATGCACATTCATTGCACATTCTGTAAGAGAGAAGCAAAGCTGGTGACTGGAAAGAGTGGCAGAGAGACAGAGAGAGAGACACAGAGAGAGAGGAACAAGCTCACTCCGATTAAAAAAGAAAAGCCATTACCTTCGCACTTTAACCCTTGCTTCACCAGACCCCACAACAGGCTGCCGCAGTGATCGCAGAAGGTTGGGCTCATGTAGTTATTAGACTTGAACCTATGAGGTACGTCGATGTTAAAGCGCTCCTTCTGAAACTGAGAGCGAAGACCGGGGGTGAAAAGGGATGGGATTTGGCACCATCTTCCCTGAGAAACACACAGACTAAACCACACTCCAAAGTCCTCCCTCCCCACTTTTCAAGCCCCGCTTCAAGACTCGCCCTCTGCTAACGTGCTTTGCGGCATTCTCCCCCCCTCTCACATCACCTCGAGCGCCCAAACACCTGTGTGGAGAGCTTTGCGTGAAAGCGCTATATAAATGCAGGTCATATTGTAACCTGCATTGTAAGTTGGATTGCATTTGGCTCCACACTGACTTCTCAGCCCCCGCGGTTGGGGAAAGGATCCACTAAATTACACGTGGAAGTTTCGAAGACGTGATACGGCGCTACATCAAACACAACGATTATTATTACCACTAATAATAATAATTATATGTAGATAAACATGGCATCTGATTTGTGCACCTCCAGCCATGAAGTTAATAGACCAATTTTAAGGTTACTAGCTGGAGGACGCTAACAGAGGGTGGCACATTTACTCTGCGGACAGTATTTTGTTAATAGAAAGCACCTCTTACCACGGTGTCTCTGCTGTTGGTAGCTGTGCCGGTACATCTCCCGATGATTTTGTCGATACACTTCTTGTGAATAGCAGCGTTGCATTCTTTATGGACAAATCGAGAAGCGCAAGAGGGGGTGGGGTGGGGGGGGGAAGAAAGAAAGAAAGAAAGAAAAAAGGATTTAAATTGAATCGAGACTTAAAAAAGCTGAAGCCGTTTAAAAATGCGTGGCGAATATCAAAGCACACACTTACGCCTGCACTGATAGCCCTGCTTGTTCAGCCCCCTGCAGAGAAAAAGATTCAACATCATTAATCAGCACATTTCTACTCCACGTGCAACCAAGGAAAAGCCACGAGCCGATGAAGGGGGCCCATCCTCCGCGGAGTTGGATTAAAACAGTCATAAACATTGCAGCGTCCTTGCCCCCAGGGTAGTCAGTCCCCGGTCTCTATCTCCGCGCCCCCACCCACCCCCCCCCACACCACCACCCCCGACATCAATGCCCGTCCGCCTCTTTGACGACACAACATGCCTCGCAAAGCCAAGCACTGTATCAAACGCAGGGGTTATTAATTGTCATTAATATTATTATTACTCACCAAACGAAGTCCCTGCAGACGGAGCAGAAGGTCGGCTGCCTGAAGAACGTGGCCGTGAACTCATGATTCTTGATGTAGTGGATCTTGGCCTGTTTGATGGCCCCCCTCCTGCGGGTCAGGGTCACTGCCCCGTCTTCCTCCTTAACAGCCTGATGACAATCTGAGGACCAGACCACAGCCCCAGTCACACACGGGCACAACAACAACAACAACAACTTGTATTTATATAGCGGGGGTTCACTCAGAACCGTTCTGACGAAAGATCATTGGCCTTCCCCTCTCTCCTCTCTCCCTCCATAGATGCTGCCTGACCCGCTGAGCGTCCCCAGCAGTTTTTAGTGTCAGGTTTACAGGATCTGCAGTATTTTGCCCCAGGTTTGGGAGCCGGGCTGTTTGGCCGGGATTGTCGCTGGTGCAATACAGTGACGTCTCCAGTATCAGCCGGAGATTTTCTAATGATTTTTGTTTTTAAAAAAAAATATGAATGACTCACGAGGAACACGCACACACCTGTAATGTCAGGTACGAAGCCAGCATTTACTATCTGCAATAGCAAAGCACTGACTCATACCGTGACCTTGTATAGGAGTTAGTGACAAAGTGAGAGAGAGAAAGAGACACACACACACACACAAACAAATAGACAAAAGAGAGAGAAAAATGCACACACCAGAGCAACACACAGCAGAGACAGACACACTCACGTGAAAAAGACACCCCACACACACACAGTTAAAGAGAGACAGAGAGGGGTTAACAATGTTCAAATGGATCAGGAACCATACAGAGCACTTTTATGTCTTTGCTCTAACACACGTAGAGAGTGCTTTTCAGTCCGGGAGTTTTTCCATTGTGATATCTGTCCACACACAAAAAAAATCCCACCCCACCCCACCCCACGACTGTTTGCGGGGACGCTGCTGTGCGCAATTGGCTGCCGCGTTTCGTCCACAAAATATACCGTCGATTCGCTTGACGGGATATTCTGTGAAGCGCTTTGGGACGTCTCGGAGACCTGATGAGGCGCCGTATCAAATGCCAGGATTATTATTATTATTATTATTTATTACCTCCCTCCCTCTGAACGCACGCCTGGTAGCGTGGCAGAGGTCATTGAGTTACAGGCTCAGGTTAGGAGGGACAACGCCTTCAGGAAGCCGTCCCTCACTCACCACACAGAAATCTAAGCCGGCGCAGGGTAAACTTCAGTGAAGGCACATCCATCGTGTAGATTTCCCACAACAGGTCGCTCTGTGTGGACATCCACTCCCTTCACCTCCCCTGGTAACTCCCCTGGTAACTCCACGCGCGGTCCAGCTCATGACTGATGACCAAAAGACAGGCCGTTTCTCGAGGGGTGTATAATTCTATCGGGACCTCAGCACGCACACCTACAGATCGCTCAACGCCAGAACTTTAAAGCATAATATTGATACTTGTGATTCATGGAATTACTCAGTAAAACAGATCCTTGCTTACTTAGGCTAATCGCCTCATGACTGTGAGGTCGTGGTGAGCTGTGGTGAGCTCAGGCAGTAAGTTCAACTCAACTCAGCTCAGCGAGGATGAAACTGTGATTCAGATCAGCGAGAGAGTGCAGGGGTGGTAAGCAGAGCGTGTGAGTCAGCATTGACGACCACGGTCTTCCTGTAACCTGACATCCCACAGCTGTACGTCAACCACTGTAAACAAACACATCCCACCACACGCTGGACACACGAACGACACTGGCGATCAGAGCATTGCGAGAGCATTTTTTTTTTTTTTTGCCCTGGTTTCAAAGTATTGAGTTGTGTCGTTTTTCCATGTAAGTCGGAAGCGGAGGAGGGGGGGGGGGGGGGGGGGCGGAGAGGGGGCGCGGGGGGGGGATGGAGCAGGGTCGGAGTCAGGCACGCTAAGGGTTTAATCGTCTTCGATCAGGGTGGATTTCAGTCAGTGGATGGAACACATATGTATTTTTTTGGGGGGGAATTTTACACTCGAGGTTCTTTACGACACAAATCGCCATTTATACAGAGCTTTTCACATCAGGGGGACATCCCAAAATGACCCGCTCAGGGACTTCCTGATCTCCTGGGTCCTGGATTAGAAAGCGGAGTTTACGGCATAGAAACTAGGCACTTCCTCACAGGGAAGAGAACACATGGGAGGGTGAAACAACTCCTTCAGCTCCGCTCAGTCGCAGAGCAACAACAACTTGCATTTATACCGTGCTCCTCGTGCAGGGTAGCGTCCCAGAGCGCTCGACAGTGGCGGAGCACGATGCCAAACACGATGGGCTCAAATCACTGACCCCTTCATTTCCTCCGCATCCTTCATCGAGTCCCTGATAATGCCGGCCCTTTCACTTCTTCAGACAGCGGTATCATGTGTCACACATTTGTTTTGCCCTAAATAGCTCTCTGCAAAGCTGAAAGCCTTCCCATGACTGAAATACCGGTTCCACATCAGCAGAGGAGTTTCCAGAATCTCTCACTTCTGTCCTCCAAACTCTCTCTTTTCCGACGTCGCAAGTTTTCCCGTCTTTCCCTCGTTCATAAATGCCCACTTGTCAGCCTGGCTCAACGGGTCAGCACTCTCTCCTCGGAGTCTGAAGGCTGTGGTACTGAGGCCTTATACTGAGACGTGGAACGCCCAGTTTAGGTGTCTTTGGTTACGCATTGAACGACTATTTGTGGACATTTGTGCTTGCAAATTAGCTGCCTCATTTTCCTACAACATACACAATTATTGTATTTTACAGTAAACCTTCAGGACTTCCTTCGACATGAAAGGCGCTAAATAAATGGGACACTGCTGTGCGCAATTGGCTGCCGCGTTTTGCCCACAAATCTACAGTCAGTTCACTTTACAGTCTACTCTGTGAAGCGCTTTGAGACGTCGAGAAGACGTGATAAGGCGCTGTATCAAATGCAAGGATTATTATTATTATTATTATTATTATTAGAAATGTCATTTGTTGTTGTTAAACTCTATGAAGTTCTTTGAAATGTCTTTCCCACGGAAATATCTTTTACAGTCTATTCTGTGAAGCACTTTGAGATGTCTCGAAGACGCGAAAAGCACTATATCAAATGCGATCATCATCATTATTAGTAGTAGTACAATTTTATTGCTCCGTTGACCTCTCCACTCCTCCAGTAGAGATTGATTCCTGGCCGGTCAACCGAGATTATCAGCTCATTTCCTGGTGAACAGCAGATTTTCACTGCAGTTTGAATTTATTTAACGGTATCTCCACTTCTGGCTGCACATTCCTTGCCCGCATGTCGACTCTTTTGGGGGTCTGGATTTGGAAACTTTTTCCCATACAAGGGGGCAGAGCTGTTAACTGTAGGACTGCATTGAACAGGAGTCCCCTCCGCTTGGCCCCCCCTCTCCCTTGCCTCCGTCAAGGCCCGTCTCAAGACCCTCCTCTTTGACCGTGCCTTCGGTCACTCGCCTAACCCCACCCTCCTCGCCCCTCCACCCCTCCTGATCCCAACCACCAGCTCTGGTGCGGATCCCTGACTGTCCAGCGCCTTGGGACGTCCTCTTACAAAGTTGCCACATTTATCCTGCGTGAACTCCCTCCTTTAGCTGCGACAGGTTGAGAAATGGCACAAACATTCAATGGAACCACAAAAGATCCCGAGTCTCGACCGGTCCAACTAGTTAAGTGTCTCGAAAAAAAAACAGCTGGTTCTCAGAGTGTGTGGGGGGGGAAAAAAAACAGTCACGGTGCGGAGAAACAAGCTCAAAAGCAGACACACCCCCTTTGATTTTAAATCCTACTTGCATTGCAGCGAAGCAGGAAACTTGAACACCGAGGACTAATCTGCGAGATGTGCTAAAAGATGTGTACGCACACGTGTGTACGGGGGAATCACAGACGCCCCTAATTATAGAAATAACTGATGAAAAGGATGCAGTAAAATACTCTGGGAATCTACCCTGAGTGGGTGGCCCTACATAAATGCAAATTATTGTTGTTGTTGGTGTTATTAATCCCTAATTAACAACGGATTACATAATTAAGGACACCTAGAATTGTGTTTCTGCACACTTAATTACATACGGCCTATAAACCAGCTGTGTGAAAGATAGATTTAGCACATCACACAGCTGTGTTCGCACATGGCGCATACTAGAGCTGCGTTCCCACGTGTTAAGACACGACGCACGACACAGCCCGCTGCGAAGCCGAAACGGTGATTTCACGAAGGGCCGAGGAGAGGGCTCCGTCTGCGCGAGCCCTCGCTCGCTCCCATTCGGGCACAGAGCGCGTCGAGAGACAGCGAGGAGCGAGAGAGGCAAACTCTGGTGAGATGGTGAGCGTTCCTTACCATTGTCCTCCAGGAACAGCTGAACCGACATGAGCACCTTCCCCTGAGGCTGCAAGTCCAGCTGAGGAAGGAACAACACAATCGTCAATAAAAACAGGTCTGTTCGCACCGTCAAACACACTGTGTGGCCAGTGACTGGTCACCCAACACCAGCAACGGGAACTAGCTCTCAGCTCAGGGACAGTACAGCTCAGATGCGGGTCAGGTACAGGGTGGAAATATTTACTCTCTGCCTGGAGGGAAGCATCCTGTTTACCTCTGGAACGCTATCCTGTGTGAGGGGGGCTATATAAATGCAAGCTGTTGCCGTTCCGGGAAGTACTAGGCGCAGGTTGGCGAGAGTCAAGGCTTGGGGGGAGCCCCGGGGTAACTGCTGGAGTCTATATCCATAGCTTGCCTTCGATAGCACCCGCTGGTGTCCAGCTAGGACCATCCTACCGTTGGGGCTTTGGCTTGCAGGGTTAAACTTTTCTGATGTGCCATAAACTACCAACTTGCCCCACTTTAAGTCTCCTTCCTCCTTGTGGCTTTCATATCAAGTCTTTTCCCCGACCTGTCCCTTCCCCGGCCGGTACAGAAGACACAAGACGCCAAAGTGCTTCTCTTACCCAAAATTCGGCTTTGCCGTTGCCTTTCTTGCACCGCTCAGCGAGCACCGAGACCCCAACAGTCACTTCGGATAAAGACTCCTCTGCTGTCTTCATCAGAACGATCTGGATCACACGGCCTTCATAGATGTGAGCATCGAAGGAGGATTTCCAGCCGGGGTACATGGTGGGCTTCTTCTGGAAGAGTGTTTTGCCCCGCTCTGTGAGCAGAAACAACAACAACAACTTACATTTACACGGCGTCTTTCATGTCGGGAGGACGTCCCAGGACGCTGGACAGTCGGGGGTTTGGACCCGAGCTGGTGGTTGGGATCAGGGACGGTGGGGTGGGGTGGGTGGGGGTTAGGAAGGTGACCGAAGGTGCGGTCGAAGAGGAGGGTCTTGAGACACTGACTGTCCAGGTTCTCACACACACAGGGAATGGCAACACATTCACAGGCAGCACGAGAGCACACACGAGTAGCAGACAGACACACATACGACTGTGAAAGTCCTCCCTCCAGACCGAAGAGCTGTTAGTAATCTCATTATCTGCAGCCGGGCATATCTCTTTACTGGGATTATCGGACTATCTCACACCGGCTCCTGATTCAACGGCCACCTCCACTCCCTGCAACCCCACATGCCATTAATCCCTCCCATCTACCAAATCTCAGGAGGAGCTCATGGGCTTCTCTGTGTGAAACATCTCTAAAATCCGCCTGGTGGTATTTTCCTCCTCTTCCGTTCCCTCTCCTCTTCCTCTGTCCCTTCCCCCCGCAACCCCTCCCTCTACACTTTTGCCCTCATTTGTCCCTCACCACCCTCACCTCCCATGCAGCTGCTACGTCACCCTTCCCCTGCCCCCTACGGGCAGATATAGATAGATAACCAGCCCCTCTCTTCCTAGCTCGTTGACCTTTTCTTACCCTGCTCACCCCCTCCTCTCTGGAAACTGGAGCCCGCCGTGCGCTCTCTACCCCCTCCGCATCGCCAAGCCTTCAGCAGAAAAACACCCTTAACCTTTGAGCTCCCTCGAACCACTCTCCCACCTCCCCAGTTCTCGATCTGTCCTTGTCCTCTTCGACCACGTCTACAGCCACTTCCCTTTTGTTGGTGGCGTTGCACTGAACACCAAAGATGAGGGCAAAATAACAGACGGATTTCACTCAAACCACAGAACGGGAGGAATAAAACGATCACTGCCCAAATGAGAGTAAAATCCACCCATGCAGGACCCCAGACATTGGAGCCGTAGAACTTAATGAGTCCTTCAAACAGAACTGAATACGTGTTCAAGAACTTGACTTGAGGGCAGTAAGGTAAATACTGACAGACTAAACCACAACTCCACAATGCACAAAAGTACCTGTCTATCCACTGTCCGTATCGTTCTTTCACTGCCTTCTCGCTCTTTGTGCGTAAACACACACACACACACACACACACGTATAAATTCCAGATTCCTCTTAGAGCACAAAGGCAAAGCTGAAAATGCTGGCAATCCACAGCAGCTCACTCACCATCTCGAAAGAGAGAGAACGTCTCCGCTTTCAAACAGAGCCCTTCACCGGATGAAACACAAACCTCTTTCCCTTTCAAGGTGCTGCCATCGCTGCTTTGTGCGCTAATGAGAATCTCCATCACTCAGGCCATTCACCCTGCATCCTCCGTTACCTCCTTATTAACCGCTCACTCTTGTTAAGACGCTAAAGATCCCACAGTGCGATTCAGAACACGCTATCGTCTGCCCTGATCAATAATCCTCCACCTCTTGATGTGGGAAAGTGCTACGAAAACAGTAGGTTCTTTCTTCTTTCACTCCCTCTGACCATGCTCACTCCCACCGCACACTCTGGGGGCCCACAAACCTGCGCCTAATACTTTCCGGAATTAGGTGAGCAGATTGCGTCCCTCCAGGGAGAGAGAGAGAGAGAGAGGGAGAGGGAGAGAGAGAGATTGTTGGAATGGGATGCGCTCTCTCTCTCTATCTCTTGAATTTCCACGTGTAGGTGGGAGGTATGGGATTCCCAGCTTGGCTTGGATACTCTGAAGCACGGTGATGGGTTTCCACAGGGATTCCCCAGGTCCCCTCCTACCTGTCGTCATGGCTTCCTTCATCTTGACCGCGAGGAAGGGGTCTGGCGAATTCTGCACGGCTCCAACTTCGAACGAGTTGAACGAAATCCGAAGAAACGGAGCCATCGTTCACTCTTGTCCTGAGATAGAATAGAGGAAAAGGTCAGATACTCTCACACTGCGATTGCATTCGTGCGCACACACGCACACTCACACACACACACACGGCCATCAGCAGTGAAACGACGAACATAACATTAATAATCATCTTTGCACTTGACACAGCGCCTCATCACGTCTTCGAGACGTCTCAAAGCGCTTCACAGGAAACACAGCAAAGTGAATCGACTGGATATTTTGTGGGCGAAACGCGGCAGCCAATTGCGCACGGCAGCGTCCCCGCAAACAGTCGTGGATTAAGAGTCGTGGGACGTCACCATTAAGAGAGGGAATGTAAAACCAACTGAATCTCGTGGAGCTATGCACACCTCACAAACCTGTCCCAAATAGAATTATAACACGGTTGATTGTTTGATAGATTGATTGATTCAAAGAGAATTACCTTCGAGATACGATTCCTTAGCTGCGTTGCCAGAGCCTGGGTTTATGTTGCCCAGGAAGCCAACAAGGCCGAGTCAAATTAATTGTAATTGTTTCTCTATTTTAACCAAAGGGAGATCAATGCTAATCCCATGTTGGAAACTTTGCCGAATGGGAGAGTTTCTAGACGCCTGAGGTTCAAAATTTCTCATGTTCGTAAACTTAAGACCTTTCATTGCCTTTCAATTCACTTTACAGTATATTCTGTGAAGCGCTTTGAGACGTCTCAAAAAAGTGATAAGGCACTATATCAAATGCAAGGATCATTATTATTATTATTTTCCTGCTGGTGGCAGAAAATTGGGGTGTCTTCGTAGCTGAGTTGGCTCCAACAACAACACCACCACCGCCGCCACCAAAATTACATTTCTAAAGGTCCTCTCGCGTCGGGAGGATGTCCCAAGGCACTGAACAGTCAAGATCAGGACCCAAGCGTAGAGGGCAGGGTTGGGATGAGGGAGGGCAGAGCGGGGTAGGAGGGCAGCTGAAGGCACGGTCGAAAAGGAGGGTCTTGAGTCGTGCCTTGAAGGAGGCGAGAGAGGGTATGAGGTGAAGGGGCTGTGGGATGGAGTTCCAAAGGATGGGGGTAGAGAGGCTGAAAGCCCCGCGGAGGGCCTTGAGAGTAAGGACGAGGATTTTGATTTCTATACTCTGAAGGATGGGGAGCCAGTGGAGTCGGAAGACAGTGGGGGTGATGGGGTCACGAAGCCTTGTGAGGGCCTCGGTTTTGCTGACATTCGGCTGCAGAAATTTGGCTCTCATCCAGGACTTGATGTCTGTCAGGACAGCAGTGGTCCTGGAATCGAGGGTGGAGGCAGAGAGATAGAGTTGGGTGTCATCCGCCGCGTACATGTGGAAGTTGACCCCATGTCTGCGGATGATATCACCAAGGGGGAGCATGTAGAGGTTGAAGAGGAGGGGACTGAGGAGAGAGCCTTGAGGAACACCACACGAGATTCTGCGGGGGCTGGAAGAGAAAGCGTTGGCGGATGCAAATTGGAGATAGTGTGAGAGATAAGACCTGAACCATTCAAGGACAGAACCTTGAAGGTTGAGGTGAGAGGAGAGGCGGAGGTGGAGGAGGATGGAGTGGGCCACGGTACTGAAAGCAGCAGAGAGATCGAGGAGGACGAGGAGGCAGAGGGAGCCCAGCCCAGCCCAGGATGTCGTTTGTGACCTTGACCAGAGCAGTTTCCGTGCTTGGAGGGGCTCGTGAAGGTAGTGGTAAGAGAGGAAAGAGTGAAGCAATGACTCTTTCAAGGACCTTGGAAAGAAAAGGGAGGTTGGACAGTAGTTAGAAAACAGGGCTGGGTCCACGGAAGGTTTTTTTCAGGATTCTAGCTGTTTTTACAGGGATGGGAACGGTGCCAGATGATAGGGAGTGATTGATGGTGTTGGAGAGCAGAGGAGCGAGGAGGTGGAGATGGGGGGGGGGTAAGGAGAGGGGTGGAGATAGGGTCAAGGGAGCAGGTGGCGTGTTTCACGCTGGATATGGTGGTGATGAGAGAGGAAGGGGAGAGGAAGGTTCGAAGATGTGGAGGGAGGGTTGTGTAGGGGTCAGAGTGTGGGCGGGGGGGAGGGTGGAGCGGGGAGATGGGGTGGGGTGGGGGGGGGGAGTGGCGGTTTGGGAAGGCGGAGGCAGCTGGGGGTGGCGTGCTTGACAAAGAAAACGTCAGGACCGAGTCAAACCTCTCGAGGATCTAGTGTCAGGCCCTCAGAGACCGACAACAACGTCTTGCATTTACGACTAGCGCCCCTCGCGCAGGATAGCGCTCGACAGTGGTGGGGCACGACACCCCCCCCCCCCACCCGCCCGAGCCGGGCAGATAATAAGATACCACCAGCTCTTGCTAAAGACACCGCCCTTTAACACGACAGACATTTCCGGGCAGCAGTTAAGCAGACGCGAACGACCTTCAAACAAGAAGCCGCCGTTTGAAATGTGAATTATCTTCCCATCTGCATATTTTTGCAGAACACGTCCGCACAGCCCGGAATCATAGGTGGGCGCAGCGGGTGGAGAAAGGCAGCCGGAGCCCAGCACTTGAGACAGATGGGAGTTTGGCTTTTGTACACCGACGATGTAAAGTGGGTTAGAGAGTTGGGCCTTGAGGAATAATAATAATAATAATAATAATAATAATAATAATCCTCGCATTTGATGCAGCGCCTTATCACGTCTTCGAGACGTCTCAAAGCGCTTCGCAGGATACGACGTAAAGCGAACCGCCCGGATATTTCGCGGGCGAAACGCGGCAGCCAATCGCGCACGGCAGCGCCCCACGAACAGTCGCGGATTGAGTGACTGACTTATCATTCAGTGTACATCGTGCGTCCATTTGCCGACAGCAATCCCCCCCACCCCCACACCCCCCTTCTGTCACACCGAGGACTTAGAAGCGAAGATCTGGGAGGGGGGGGGGGGGGGGGGAGAGTCAGGGAGTGCAGCAGTCTTGTAAATTCTTGTGACAATTCAGCACAGAGTACCGCAGGCGTTCATTTGACGGGCCTGACATCTCCCTGGGCGGTGCCAATAACTGCACCGATCTGGAGCTCGGCAATTGTGGGCGAGATAAGAGCGAGCAATTAACTCTCACGCTCTCTATCGCTGCAGTTTACGACCCGTTCAGATCAGAGATAATATATTTCATACATCGAGGGCACAAATTCTGACTCTCTCGCACGTCAGATGTATATATAGCCTATGTGTGTGTGTGTGTGTGTGTGTGTGTGTGTGTGTACAGGAAGCAGAAGTTGCTGTAACTGTGCTTTGGATATCACAGAAAAGACCAGATACCGGGGCTAATAATAATAATTAATAACAAAATAATAATAATCCTTGCATTTGATGGAGCGCCTCATCACATCTTCGCCACGTCTCAAAGCCCTCACAGAAAACACCGTCAAGTGAATTGACTGCGTTTTTTTTTGGGGGTGGGGGTGGGGGGGGGCGGGGGGGGAAACATCAAATATTGTACATCTGTCGAGCATTACAACGCACGGATACGCAATGAGGTCATCGCCTTAGGACGCACCGAGGCCAGAAAGCAGCCGGGATATTTCCTTTCGCCGAGCTTATTATTATTATTTTTTTTAAAAATTAAAAAGTTCTGGGAGTTTTTTTTTTCAAGGTTTGCATTTCCGTGTCACAAGGAACCCGCTGCTGATCTTTATCATCTTAAACCACCCCCCCACCCCCCACCCCCCCCCCCCACCACCACCCCACGCCCCACCAATTTTCTTCCGTTCCTCTTCCGAACATTAGACGTACATCACAAAACCCAAGTGACTGTTCTGAACGTGTGAGACAGCGAGTGTGACCACAAGAAATTGCCTCCCCATCGCTTGAGTCTCTAATCGCTGTGACTCACAGTCACTGCCGCTTAGCTACTGCTACTCAACAACAACAACAACTTGCATCTAATACGGCGCCCTTCACGCAGGATAGCTCCCCGGAGCGCCTCTCGGTGGCGGAGTCCGGCAACGAGCCGGGGGGAGAGGGAGGGGGGGGTGGTGGTGGGTGGCGCAGGGGAGGTGACCGTAAGCACAAGCAAAAAAGGAAGGTCTTTGTGCGGGATTTGAAGGTGGGGAGGGAGGGAGTTCCGGAGTTTCGGGATAACGACAACAATTTGGGCTTTCCGTGCCCCTCGCGCGGGCTGGCGTGGCGGAGTGCGCACTCAGGTCCCGGGGCAACTCGAGTTACTGACCCTTAATGGTCGCCCAAGCAATGTCAAGACCTTCCGATCAACTTATCACACCGTTAAACCCACGTACTGAAGCTCGACACACGGACAGCAAACGGAAGGGAACCTCGCGCAGCGCTCGAACCCTCCAAAGGTATCCTGCGACACCCGAAAAAACAGCCCGCAAACCGTGAGAGCGTTTCCAGGTGTGTACCTTATTGTTTTATTACTGCTCACACATTACACCACATCCAATTAGCACATATATAATCTGAATTCTAACTCACCTCTTCCCTACCCCCCCCCCGCCCCCCCTCCCACGCACACATTACGATATCAACGCACCTAATTCATTGCTTATCATAAAGTGGACATAAATTATACAAATGTAATCTTATTGTTGTTGTTGTGGTGGAGGAGGTTGTTGGGACATAACCGGCTGACGCAGCCCGCGGAGGCTCATCATCTGTCGCGACGGAGGAAGAACAGGCGCTCAAACCAGACAGCCTGTGGTCCCCAACCCAAGCTCGAGACGTAGCTTTTAGGGGAAGGGAAAGGAAAATGAAAGGGCTCCGTCATTGTAACAGGGAGTCACTGCAACAGGCCAGGACCCCAACACGACAACATTACATGTATACACATACATAGCGCCTTTCACGTGAACACTCACACACACACACACACGCACACACGCATTGGGACTTTGAACTCTGGGCTTAACACCAATACAGCGCTGCTTTGTTGGAGAAGCTGTCGTTCGGATAAGATGTTAAGCCGAGGTCCCTCCCATTCGGCTGAATATTAAATATCCCCTGGCACTACATGAAGAAAAAGACCGGAGTTTCTTCACACCCGCA